GTTATTGATTTATATATATATACTATATATTTTGGGATTAGGTTGTCCAAATTGCACTGTATAATATGTTTTGAATTAATATGTTCTTGGGTTTTTTGAAATATATATATACATGTATTAATTCAACCTTAATCTGAGTTTCTGGACAAGAAAGAGGGTAAGCAATTGAAATTTCATTCTAAACCCCATTTTTTTTTGTCTTTTCATAGCTTATGATCTGTCAAATTTTTAGTTTTCTTTATTGGTTTTGAGTGTTTATCTTATAACTCAAGTTTCTTGGTTCTTTGCTCTTGATGTAAAACGAATACATTTGTGGAGTCTTTTAAATATGTTGGATTTTAAATATATTGGATTTTAAACCGTCATACAATTTTTTTCATCGATAGTCTGTAATTGGAACCATAACTCTTATTTATTCAAATTGTATTAATATGTAAAGACCAAGTGTAACATATATCATCATTAAATCTTATCTTATAAAACCAGTGGAACTTCAAAATCGTTAAAATTCATGGCTCCTACCGCATTGCACGGGTACACAACTAGTGTCTATATAAGAGAGAGGTGTGTGTGTGTAAGAGTATGTGTATGTGTGAAAGGGATTTAAAGAATGATACAAGTTGGTATAAACAAACAAAAACACAACATTAATTACAAACAAGTATGGAAGAGTACTATTTGTCTATTTGATAGAAACGGTCCCACATATGCCATTGCCATTAGTCTTGCGAACCTCAACCTATATTTTGAAAGAGAGTTGGCATATACAAACACAAAAAGAACCACTTTTATTCGAAAACTTGTTTAGAATACTACCATTTCATCGAAACTGTCCCATATGCCAGCAATCGTGTGAACCTAAATATCTCTCAGATCTATGTTCATTAGTTTCGGGTGGCAAAATCTACATGTGCATTAGTTATGAAATCTATGTTCGCATAATTAAACTTTGAAGCATTAGTGCTACATTTTTACATGTTTTATTTAGATAGAAACACAATCAAATTTTCATATTTTTTATCGTTATGTTTTGTTTGACAAACTAAATGTAAATTAATTCTTGTCTGATAAGTTAACTAACGTTCGATGCTAGTTGAAAAAATTAGTTGATTAATAAGATAGTTGATAGTTGATAGTTGATAAGCAAAACTGATCATATACCAGTTGATTAACTAAATAAATGACAATGTAAAATAACTTAAAAAATATATGTTAAAAAGTTAGTTGGAAAAATAACCTTTGAAGCTTATTGGTTTTCAATTGGCTAGCATTATGTAACCAAATGAGATTATTTCAATAAGCGAAAGATAAATCGAAACGGAACCAATAAAACCCCAACTTTGATCCAACGTCTATTTTGGTAAACCAACTTTCAAAATATTCATTGTAGGTCAGGAGCAAACTTTTCATATATTTAAAAATCTTGTCTACCTGATGGTCTGCTTCGTAACTCAAATATATACGAATTAAGGAGACGTTTAGGATGATGATGAAAATTGTGGTTTGATTTGATTTTATATAATGGGCCCATTACTCAAACCCATTAGTTTCCATACCTCACCAAATTTCTGTTCGTCGCTACACATCTCTCGATGTTGAATAGACCATTTTTTGTATTTTTAAGTTGGATGAAACATATTTTATTTAAAATATTATATAAAATAATTTTTCATTGATTACATTAGTTTAATCAAAGAACATCAATGCGGTGTTTATTCATATTCTCATTCCTTTAAAAGAGCCAAACGTACAATATGATGTGATATTTGAAGTTTAAAAAATAAATGTGTCAAATGGAACATTATTATTTAAAATCGATGACTAAAACTCAACGTTGGATTTAAGAAAAAGTAAACTATAGTTTTATCGAACTTTTTTATTATATAAATATGTAGAAATATGAAAACTATTTAGAAAAATATATGGATGAAGTCGCCGTATGGGAACCTGTAGAGATTCTTGTAATATACTTTTTCCCATAACTTCTCATACCAAACCAACCCACTAATGCAAATAGAGATCAGAAATGTGGCCAATATCACGAAGATAACAAAACGACCCCCAATTATCGCCCCTCCCCCCTCTCGGTGATTTTGATTTGGTTTATTTTGGTTGATTTTGGTTTCATCAAACATATAATAAAATAACTCCTATTGGTTTGGTTCTAATTATTAGTGATTTTAGTGTTATCAAACATTTTACTGTGATTATAATTTACATGAGATCGATGAAGTTTATTGGTTATAGTATGAGTTAAAGGTGTGCATGGAGTGCACACTCACATAAACATTCGTGAACCTAAGATCGCCATAAACCAGGGGGTCGCACCCCTTGCAGTGGTCCTAGATGGTATACACTAGATTCTGTTAAGAATGAGTATGGTCTTCTAAATTTTATTGAGAAGGTGTGTAGCCTTATCAACTATAATTCAAAAGTCATCATGTTGCCTACTGAAATTCACTTTAATTTGTGGGACTTGGATTCAAAATACATGTTCCTTTTGAACTTTGTTGCATTAACCGATTCTTGATCTAATCACCCCAAATTAACTAGTGAAGTATCCACCTTTTTAAAGGAATCTCGATCTCATTATAATACATAAAAAACATAACATAACCACAAGGGTGGTGCCTGATTGGTTTGAGCTTAGCTCCAAAGGTCAAAAGTATCAGGAGGTCACAAGTTCAAATCCAAGAAGGAATAAAAATCCCCTTCTGGCCACGTAGGTTCAAATGTAGTGATTCCGGGCTATCTACAAAGTAGGTAGTCGCTCTTGGATTAGTCGGCTCGCATAGAGGTTAATAAAAAAAAACATAACATCTGTATTTTGCTCTCATTTATGTATACAAATCTAGAGTGCGTATTTATTATTATTATTATTATTTCAACCAATAATTTTTTTTGAAATTAAATGTTTAGAATATAAAGTTAATATATTTACTATATTATAAAGCATTTGACAAAAACTCTTAAAAACCATTTTTTATGTATAAAGTACTGTATATTGATGCATATTACTTAAAATTCAAGATTACAAGTAAATTATGCATAAGCATAACTTATTAAAGCTCCACGTTTGAATTCGTGTAACTAATTACGGATAAACATAATTAAATAYTGGATAAAYATYTYATTTTAAATATAAAAAATCTAAAATATAATTAGGATAATTATCGAGTTCTAACAAAATAATTAATTTTTATCTTTATAAGAAAATTATATTATTAAACCAAATACAAATTATTTCGTTATTGAACATAAATTAAATTATAATAAAGAAATTGAATTAAAAATTACACAAAAAATATGAATTTTAAATAGTTAATTTGATATTAATATCGATATATTTTTGTCAAATTTTTATGATATATTCAACTTATATTTTATTCAAAAATAAAAATATCATCGCTTTTTCAAAACCACATAAGACCATACTATAACATCGACTGAGATAAAGAATAAAATGAAATATTAAAATTAAGATGTATCTCACTGCATTACACGAGCATCCTTTTAGTTTTATTAAATGTATTAAGTATTTTAATAATATAATTAATATTGAAATTTATAAGATGAAAAAACCGTTAGAACATGATATTATTTGAAAATGATTTCTCATTTTGGAGAAATTAATGGGGACTATAAGTACAGGGACTGATTATGTAATATTCTCAAAGGTTTACGAGTTAAACCGATCGACTCAGTGAGTTAAGCACCAAAAATCCAAAATAGGCAAATTGCATATCAACCATCCGGTTAAAGCTTTTTGAAGTTCTCTCACCCGCGAAAACCTTCGCATCTACATTATTTTCCTACCAAAACAAACAGACTGCAATCATATTCAATCTCCAATTTCTTCGAGTATTACTTTCAAGCACATTGAACATAATCATATATCGTGCATTGTCTTCTGATTTTCATTCAATGGGTAGTCGTAATGATCCTAATCCCTTCGACGAGGGAAGAAATGTTAACCCATATGCGGTAATTCAATATCATTATCTCATTTGTTTCTTACATTAACATTTTGTTTTGTTCCATTTGATAAGGTCAGATTTCTGATTGCAATTATGGGTTTTAGGAGTAATGTTCTTAAATTGATGTCTCTTATCTGTTTGTAATTCTTTAGTTTTGCTTTTTGGGTAGGCAACTACTTGTTTATAATTGGAATCCTTGCTTTAGATTCTTTTTTATGTCGTTTGTTTCTTTCAATATGCTTTGGTTTTACGTCGTAGTTTTCAAAAACCCATGGGAGGTTCTTATTGGAGTTGAGCACCAATGACATTGCCAGGGTGCCAAATACCCACTTCCCAATGCAAATGCCGATTGTTGCTTATGGTTTCTGAGAAGCTCTAATTTTACATATTCTTGATTAACGTTCTCGCCTGTTAGATACCTTACAAAATTGTTAAAGAATTACCTAAATCCCAAGGATTTGCAAACATGGTTGCTGGTAATCTTGTCCAAACCAACCACATTTCTAAAAGAATTGGAGGCTCAAAACATAGTTTTAGGTCTGGGACATATCTTTTTTGATCCATATTCTGCTTTGAGATTTCCCTTCAGGCTCAATGTCACTCCCCAAAAATTGGAGATGAGAAATGAGGAATCCGCCCACTCCTGAACAAAAGCACATAGAACATACAGGGTGAAACATTTTGGATATATTCTGTGAAACAAATAAATAGAAGCCTTCAATGTGGCGCCATGTGGGGTCTTGCCTCCTCGCTTTATGTCTATGGCTTCATTGATAAATTTACTAATTTCAGAATGGTGCTGATGTTGAGCTGATACTTCCATTCTCCAGTGGGAAGATTTGGGGCAATGCTTATGATAGATGACATATATTACGACAATCTTGTGATTGAATGACAGTTAGATAGCAAATTGATTATCTTAGCTATCCTTTTGTCATGGTCATCCACTCATGCCTTTTATACTAAACGTTCTTGTTAATCTCGTCTTGTGTAATGTCAGAAAGTAATTCACAACTTTGGGCATATTATATATTCACAAAGGTTACCATTATGAAAAAAGGAGATGCGCACATGCCCATCACATCAGGATCCAAATAACCCTGTGTTCTAGTTCTAATTTTTTTGTGTGTCCTACCTTTCCATCTCTGAGCTTTCTCTGAAAATGGTGGAAGTATTCTAAAATTACTTTGACAAATGGATCAACTGTTAGTGGCAGAGAAATTAAAAGATGGAGATCCAGGATTTTTCTAATTAGATAGGTATAGGTATTGTTGTTTGTGAGATGACAAGATAGATTAGAAGAGCTGGATTGCTTTATACATCAGCATACGAAGGCCAGAGCTGTCTTTTCTATTATGCTTCTTTGGCATTTCTTTGCTAAACTTTCTCCTCTGATCATCATGACATATATATATGGGCCATTCTACTTAACTTTGCCAGGAACATGGAGCTCAAAGTAAAGGGTCTAGTCAACAAAATTATGGTGCAGGAGCATTTTTCATGACGGTAAGCATTTTGTTTTCTTTTTCTTCCTTTTGGTCATCATCTCGTTCAAGAAGGATTGTGTTTCTTTTTTCCTGTAAACTACTGAGAAAGGGAAATGTTATCTTGTGAAAAGTCATTCCTTGAGTTCTGATATAACCCGGGTTTTCCCTCAAAGTTAAGTTTGTCCCCACATCAAGCTCCCTTGCTCAAATCCAACTTATATGGTCTGTAGGATCATATGCTTTCCATCCCCCAATTATCTTATTCACATCTCACAAGCCATATGTGCTTAGGCTTCATTGTCTTGAGGATCTATATACATATAACATTTAATGTCGTACCAAAAACTTCCATCCAGCGTAGTCTCCATTCTCATGCTTGGAGCTCGATACGAATTGTAATTTTTTTAATCTTCAAAATACAGAAGTTTCACATTTCTGAGAACCTATAACTGCAAGAAGTAGTCCACAAGATTTTGAATTTGAAGTTCTCAGAGATGACTCCTTCAATCTCCTCAAGACATATCTTGTATAATATTTCCCTACAACTAGATGCATGCTTGTTTTTATTATAGGTGTTGTAGACGCAATATAAAATGTCTCCAAGTTGGCAATATGGAGAGTATATGGCACAATGGACACTTGACACCATATGTTTTCCCACCATGTGGACTGGTCAGAACTTTGTTATATGTTGTTCAAGAGAATCACCATCGCTTCCTCCTGGCTTCCTATACTGATCCTTGTTCACTCCTTCAGGCCCAAAGGTCTCGTCTAAGCACTTTGAGGCCTTCTAAACTCTGATATAAGCCAGACTTCACTCTAAATCACGTTTATAGAACCATGTCAAGGATAATAGAAACACGACACGCAAGCTTACAGGTTGTACACAGGTATTCCTGTTTTCCTAGCCGAACTTTTCTGGTCTTGTTCTACTACTTTTTGGCAAAATTGAAATTGGAATAATTTTGGTAAAAAGATCCAAATTGCAGGGTCTTGTTGTACTAGACTGTAGAGAGGAATCCCCAAGATCCATGCAATTAAATCGACGCTTATATCAAATGGGAAATGGATAATGTTGAACTTCAGAGTTTGTTAACTTTTAGTTATATTCAGTCAAGTAGTTTTTCTATAATGTCTACATTTGTTTTATAATTTATAGTCAGCGTTCCATGATGTACTCTATTTCAAACGGTTTCCCGAAATAATGTAGTATCACTTTTAACCCTGATCTTTTCAGCGATTATTGGTTGTATTAGGAAAGAGATATATAGCTATACAGGTACAAGGTCTAACTTTAGTTTGCATCCTTCTGCATATCAAGGTGTAGTAGCTACTAGCTATAGCATTACGTTTTCAATTAAATGTACGTGAAATCAAGTAGTGTGAGTTCTAGCTTAACATGATCTAATTTTTAAAATATCATGAATAACACAGTTAATCATGTGACTTAAGATATGTTTGGTGCAAATATGGAACTTACTTCAGAATCCTGTTGAAACTGTATTGAACTTTTAGCATCAAGGAATGCTCTCACACCCACTACTAAGTCTCATGATTACAGAATCCCCAACCTCAATTGAGGTTACTTGTTTGAGGTTGGTTACATTTTGCCACACTCCAGACTTTTGGTTTTTCGTTTGAAAATTGTTTGTCTTCTGATACTATTAACTTAGCCCATTTCATCACAATCTCTGCTATTAATGGTCATTCATTATCTGAAGTATGAATGGGTGGGTGTATTTCTTATCCTTTTTGTATTCATGTGCATTTCTTAGAATTCTACAGCAAACCCAAAACTATCACCGCTCCCCCCAGAACATGCTGACTATGGGTATGGTGCATCTGTTGCTACCCCTGCCGATAACACCAGGGTAAGATTTGAATTTTAGTTTCTTAGCAATGATTTAATTTTTCCATATTCCCCATATTGTCTTCTCGGATTTTGGCTTCTTTTTTCTTTCTTGTTTTGACAATTTTGTTTTATCTTGCATCTAGGATTTGAAAGCCAAGGAAAAGGAACTCCAAGCTAAAGAGGCTGAGCTAAAAAGGAGGGAAGAGGTGCATGTTCTTTAACCTGTATGTTAGGAGTTTGAAATCAAGCATGTAAACGTACACAATTTTAACATCCAATCCAGAAAATGTAGGTTGTAATCTTCAGTTCAGACTTTAGTACAAATGTGGCCTATACTGATGACTATTGTACCAATGCAACAATTTCATAGTACTTCAAATGCTTTTCCAAAATCTTTGAGTATTCTGGAAAGAAGATACCCTTCAATAATATTTTTTAGGTGCATTGAAATCTACATTCTTGGTTTTTGTTTCTCTTGTTGGAGTGCCACACGTTATCTTACTGTGAAAGTTGTAGCAAAACATGGTGTCATTAAACTTCTCGCACTTACAATGCCATTCTTCTGTACGAAATACTTCTTTTGTGCAGGAATTAAAGAAGAGGGAGGAGGCAATAGCAAAAGGTAATGCAATTATCTATGACTAGAATTTTCTTTATCTCTGTGTTGTGATAATGATACACAATAAAGTTTCTTAAGATCATCTGTTTTGCAGCTGGAATTGTTATAGAGGAAAAAAACTGGCCACCTTTTTACCCATTAATTCATCACAATATTGCAGCTGAAATTCCTATCCATTTACAGAAAATACAATATGTTGCATTTGGGACGTGGCTGGGTACGTAACTTTGACATTTTCTTTTTCTGAGTTCTACTTTCAATTTTCAAAAGTCTTCTGCTTTACTTGGTGCAGATACTTGCATCATTCCCTGAATATTGAATAGTAAATTGATACTCTCTCCATCGTATGCAAGTTGCAAAAGAGCTTTGCGAAATAGCTTTTCTCACCAATTTTACATTTCCTTTTCTTGGGAAGATTCCAATTACTTTTGTCATGTAATATCATCAGTACAAATAAGTTATAGTGAATTGAATCCACAAAATCCTTAATTTATCTTCATTGGAAATGTTTTACTTAAAATTATGTGTCAAGTCAAATATTGCAATTTTTGCAGGATGGAGGGAGTACATTTTAGTTTGTTTGGCATGGTGAAGAGGCATCAAATAAGAAAATATATTTTTATTGAGGTTTTTTCCTTGCTACAGTGGATGGTTTCTGCATTCTCAATATCATTTTCATTCCCAATGTTAGAAAAAGGGTTTGGGGAATGAATCACGTGTTAGGGTCAAAAAAACCTTGTTCCCCAATAGTTAAATACGAGATCTAACCCGACAAAAACTACTGAAACAAAATGGACCAAACAAGGTGGTCAACAACTTGACTATGATCAAACAGACTCAAAGCACCCGCCAATGGCAACCAAACAAATATCTTAACATGGTTCAACTGTCAGTGTGATAGTGTATGTTCACAGAGAGAAGATAATTTGTATTTCACTAAAAGAAACGAGAAATTAGAAGTTTCCTCATTTACAAACTTCCTTCAACAAGGGCAGCTATGAGAAACTTGCTAAAACCCAAACCAGTGCCACGAAGGCTTATGTTTACTTCTTTTCCAGTTCTCTCTTATTTTTCTCCGATTTTTTTGTCTTTTAACATCGTTGTTTAAATGCTTAATTTGTAAAGGAGACACTAGATTTTGAACATCTTGATTGCAGGTCTCATGTTGTGCCTTGTATGGAATCTTATAGCAGTGACTGCTGCCTGGTTCCAAGGGCAAGGTATCTCTACAACCAACTTGCACATTTCTTCTTCTAAATATATCTGCTAAAGTCCCATATCGGCTAGACTTGGACTGTTCATCCTCAATATGTGTTGGAACCTCGCTTGTCTCCTCAATGGCTCTTTTGAGAGTAATATGATCATCCCTTATACTTGCATATCTTATTTCTGCAGATGCTACAATTTGGTTACTTGCTGTTATCTACTTGATAACAGGAGTTCCTGGTGCGTACTTTTTGTGGTACCGTCCTTTGTACAAAGCAATGAGGTATAACTCCGAGCTTGTTAAGCGAACACATATTTTCCAATAACTCTTAATCTTTTTTTCCTTCTAATTTTCTTTTTACAGGACTGACAGTGCTCTTAAGTTTAGTTTCTTTTTCTTGACTTACATTGTAAGCTCTGTTCCTTTTTCTTAAATCTTTGCTTTGGTTTTTTGGGGACAAAACCATGGTTGCTGCTTTGTGTGTGAAACCTTTCTGTTTCTCTAGTGTCACATCGCCTTTTGTGCTTTTGCTACACTTGCTCCTCCTATGATCTTCGAAGGGAAATCTCTTGCGTAAGTTTTTCTTGTTCTATTTTGTAAAGGGTTATGCTGTCATTTGCGGTCTTCCTTTAAGTTCATTTGCAAAAGATGAGATATGAGAAAAATACTGACACCAAACCTTCAAATTTGATGCTTGATTTGTGTTTATATATTGCAGAGGAATTATGCCAGCTTTTGATATTCTAACCTGGAATGCTACACTCGGGGTAAGTGTACTAGAATTCATCACAATTTCACAAACCTGGTTTTGAAAGGTTCAAATTCAATGGGTTAAAGTAACTGTTTTGGCAATGATAAGCTAGCTAATTTTTTGAGCTTATGGAAAAACTCCATTTGATTAGTCATAAACTAGCTTTTTGAAACGCTACTTCAAGTATTTTTTCAATAAGCTTTTCCACTTTTACCCAATTTGCATTGTATATTTTCCAATTAATTTTTAACATGTCATTTTAGATCATTTTACATTGTCATCTAGCTTATTAGCTAATTTTTATCAAACATAACTAGTTCATAATTTAGCTTCTCAGCTAACAACTACCTTATTAGTCAAAAAAACTAGCTTATTAGCTAGTTTGCCAAGCATAGAGGCCGCTTACCAAAACGCTTACCGGTAAGAGCCACCACTCTCACTAACCTTCCCCGCTATGATTCTTGGCCATCAAAATGGCATCATATGCAACAATCTTACCCAGTAAGAGTCTTCACCTTCACTTACCGGTGTAAGACTCTTTTTCCTTGCCATGCCTCTTACCGGGTAAGTTTCTCGGCCATCAGCTAGCGTAAGCGCTTGGTAAAGGTCCCATACTCTTACCAAATGGTATATTTTCTTTCAGTTTTATGATATTGATGGTAAAATGGGATTTCAAATTGTGGTCAAGGTATTGCTCACATACATGGGATTTGAACTTTTAGAACATTTGCCATCCAACTTCACTTTCAGGGTTTCTACTTCATTGGATTTGGACTTTTTGCTCTTGAAACCGCAATCAGCATCTGGGTGATTCAGGTTTCAAACACCATTTCATGTTTCCCTTTTGGTTTCTTTTCTTCATTGAATTGTCATTTCTTAGAACTCAAATGGTTTGTTTTGGATCTGCAGCAAGTTTACTTGTACTTCCGTGGTAGTGGAAAGACTGCAGAGATGCAACGTGAGGCTACTAGGACTACTGTGATGGCAGCATTATGACGTAACTAACTACCTTTAAAGAAAGATCGAAAACGACACTAGTTCTAAAACTCCTCAAGGACATCTGTAACACATGAGTAGAGTTAGATATTGGTTTCATTTTTATTTTTTATTTTTTATTTTTTATTTTTTATTTTTTTGCTTCGAGAGATAGACTGGCGTTTGGTCCGGTAATGCGGACTATGAATGCTTGTTTGCCTATCTGTATATGTAACATTAGCATTTGCATCTTACTACTGTAATTACTGAAACCCATCATTAACTTTGAAAAATACATCATAGTTCTTTGTAATTTCTGAAACTTGTGGGGAAGTCTTGTAATTTGAGTGGAGAAGAGGTACTGGTATGCACTTTCTTAAAAAAGTTCCACCAAAAGAGAGAGACAAAAAAACTTAGGGGGTTAAAATAAAAAGTAGTATGATTCAAGGGGCTTTAAAGCATTGTTAATCTATACTACCTTATAAACCAGATTTATCAAAAGTTTTAAAAACAATTTTTAATACACAAAGTACTATACATTTATGCACAAAGCCTTAAAAACAACTCATAATGCATCAAATACTACTACTTTATGCATTCAGTCTTAAAATTTCTTGATTTACAATAAAAAATAACATATAGTACAAGTTACCAATACACATTATTACCTTTTCTTTTTATGGATCCAAGATATTTTAGACATTTTTCACTCATGCATTCACCCTCTCATACTTCTATGTCTTCTCCCCATCCCCCAAGATGAGATTCAAACTGATATTCACCATAAGTTATTAAAAGTTCTCTCATTCATCTCTCATTCAATTGCTCTATAACTCTCGGTCTCGCTCTCGATCTCTTGATTCTTTGCTCTTGGTGTAAATCGAACACATTTATGAAGTGGTTTAAATATGTTGGATTTTAAATATATTAGATTTTAAACTATTATACAATTTTTTACTTAAACGACTGTAATTGGAAAATCATAATTAAGAAAGCATAAGAACAAAAATAGAACTCTCAACAAACCACAAGGACTAAAAACGTAGTTTGCTCTAGAAACAAATTATGGTAGAGACTAAAGGCTTCATTCTTCGTAGAGAACCGAAAGGCGTCCAACCTGCAACGGAAAAAGGCCGCCATAATGCTTCAAATTTGCAGTTACAGAGAAGTAAGCCGTGAGAATATGCGCAGCCCACAAAATTTACAAGCCGTTTCTTCGCCACGTAAGCTTCAAATTCTTCACCCTTCGTTCAATTTGATTGCTGTTCAAGGGTTTTATGTAAAACCAGATAAAATTCCCAATAGGGTTTATGTGGGTTTTAACTTCAAGCTTCAAGTTCGTTCGGAAACAGATTATTTACCCACACGAACTATCAGAAATAGTGTAAGTAATTATAGTTCTAACAATAAGAAGAATAAGAAGAGATATGGAGGCCTATTGCCTTCTATTTTAAAGTCTTTGGATTCGGAAGACGATGTTGATAAAACCCTGAATTTGTATTACGGGAAGTTGAATCCTAAAGAACAGACTGTGATTCTCAAAGAGCAGAGAAATTGGGAAAGGGTTATTAGAGTTTTTGAGTGGATGAAATCACAGCCGGAGTATTTGCCCAATGTGATTCACTACAACGTTGTTCTTCGTGTGTTGGGTCGTGCCAGAAAATGGGATGAGTTGCGACTTTGTTGGATTGAGATGGCGAAGAAGGGTGTTTTGCCAACTAATAATACATATGGAATGCTTGTTGATGTTTATGGGAAAGCAGGTCTTGTGAAAGAAGCCCTTTTGTGGATCAAACACATGAAGCTTAGGGGTATTTTCCCTGATGAAGTCACCATGAATACAGTGGTTCGTGTGTTGAAAGATGGGGGAGAGTATGATAGGGCAGATCGATTTTACAACGATTGGTGTATTGGGAAAGTTGAATTGGATGATTTGGAGTTGGATTCTATGGCAGATTCAGTGTCTGGCTCAGGTTTGGAGCCCATTAGTTTGACAGGATACTTGCTGACTGAACTTTTTAGGACTGGCGGGAGAGATCATACAAAGAGTATGGTTCGATCTGATAAAGAAAATTCTGTTCAAAAACCCCGGCTTACAGCTACTTACAACACTTTGATTGATTTGTATGGAAAAGCCGGTCGATTGAAAGATGCAGCTGATGTGTTTGCCGAAATGTTGAAATCTGGAATTGCTATGGATACTATTACTTTCAACACGATGATCTTTACTTGTGGGAGTCATGGAAATTTATCGGAGGCAGAGTCTTTGTTGAGTAAGATGGAAGAAAGGAGAATATCTCCAGATACGAAAACTTACAACATCTTTCTGTCGCTCTATGCTGACGTTGGGAATATAGATGGGGCTCTTCAGTGCTACAGGAAGATCCGGGAGGTGGGCCTTTTTCCTGATGCTGTCACTCATAGAGCTATTCTTCAGATTTTGTGTGAAAGAAAAATGGTTCATGAAGTCGAAACTGTGATCAAAGAAATGGAGAAATCTGGTTTATGTATCGACAAACAGTCTCTTCCGGTTGTTGTTAAAATGTATGTAGATGAAGGATTAACCGAGCGTGCTAAGTTTCTATTTGAAAAGTATCAAAAGAATGATGAATTGTCGTCAAAGACTTATGCTGCCATTATCGATGCATATGCCCAGAAGGGTCTTTGGGCTGAAGCTGAGTATGTTTTTGGTTGTGAAAGAAGTTCAGTTGGACAGAAGGATATTGTGGAGTATAATGTCATGATTAAAGCTTATGGGATAGCGAAGCTTTATGATAAAGCTTTTTTGTTGTTCAAAGGCATGAAAAGTCAAGGGATTTGGCCAGATGAATGCACATATAACTCTTTAATTCAGATGTTTTCCGGTGGTGATTTGGTTGATGAAGCAAGGGATCTTATAGGTGAAATGCAAGAAGCAGGTTTTCAACCCTCGTGTTTGACCTTTTCGGGTATTATTGCAAGTTATGCTCGTTTAAGCAGACTTTCGGATGCAGATGAGATTTATCAAGAAATGGTGAAATCTGGGGTTAAACCAAATGAGGTCGTGTTTGGTTCTTTGATAAATGGATTTGCAGAAACGGGCGATCTTGAAGAAGCTCTCAGGTATTTCGGGATTATGCAAGAATCTGGAGTATCCCCGAATCAAGTAGTGTTGACTTCTCTGATCAAAGCTTACAGTAAAACCGGTATTCTAGAAGGAGCTAGAACGATCTATAAAAAGATGAAGGAATTTCCTGGAGGTCCTGATATTGTGGCATCAAACAGCATGCTCAATCTTTATGCAGATTTAGGTATGGTTTCAGAAGCCAGATTGATATTTGATGATTTGCAAGAACACCATCAAGCAGATGGGGTTTCTTTCGCAACCATGATGTATGTTTATAAGAACATGGGCATGCTTGATGAAGCCATAGAAGTTGCAGAAAAGATGAAAGATTCTGGTCTACTGATCGACTGCCCTTCATTTAACAAAGCCATGGCTTGCTATGCCACAACCGGCCATCTAATTGAGTGTGGTGAAATGCTGCACGAAATGGTAGTAACTCGAAAGCTCTTGCCAACCAATGGAACTTTCAAAGTATTATTCACCGTGTTGAAAAAAGGCGGCATGCCAACCGAAGGAGTGGAACAGCTCGAGTTTGCTTACCAGGAAGGTAAACCGTACGCCAAACGAGCAGTCATAACGGCTGTATTTTCTGCAGTAGGTTTGCATACTTATGCTATGGAATTTTTCCAAAACTCCATACAATATGAGACATGTTTGGATCTTTTTGCTTATAATGTTGCAATTTATGTTTTTGGGCTTTTGGGGAGAATTGATGATGCATTTAAGATGTTCATGAAGATGCAAGATGAAGGTTTTGAAGCAGATGTTGTTACTTATATATATTTGGTTGGTTGTTATGGGAAAGCCGGTATGCTGGAAGGCGTGAAGAGGGTATACACGAAGCTAAAATACGGAGAAATCGATCCAAATGAGTCTTTATTCAAAGCTGTTATAGGAGCTTATAAAAGTATGAAGAGGAATGATCTTGCAGAACTGGTTAACCAAGAGATGAGCTTGGCTTTTGAGATGGAACCCTTGGCTGATTCCGAGAATGAAGATGAACCAGATGAAACCTCTGTAAGTTTATTGATATGAAATACAGATCGGATACGAATTCCGATATTATATATGATACATGTTGGCTGATAGTTGATGAAAACTAGATGAAAAATGTATAAATATTAGTGATGAGATCATGTATAAGGAGCATGTATATATTTTCTTATTGAATTTTAAGAACTCGAATTAATTCTTGGTGAAGATAGGGCTACATGAAGGATCAGTGCTAAACCCATTCTCCTTTGCGTTGATTTTGGATGAGATCTCTCACAGAATCCGGTAGCACGTATTTTGGTGTATGTTATTTGTTGATGATATTGCTCTGGTAACAAAGACAAGAAGGGAGGTATTTAAAGCTAAGGGTTTGCTTTGGTAACAAGGACAACTAGGGAGGTATTTAAAGTTAAAGGGGCATTTGGTTCATAGAATGGAATTTGGTGTGATTGGAGTCCGTCAAAAGAGTTTGACTTTCAAGGAAATCGAATGGAATTTGACCACGCATTTGGTTGGTAAGAATTGGGATGGAAGCTCTCAAAAGAGTGGGAACAACTGTCTTTGTTTGGACCACTCCACCCATCGCATTTGTCCACACCTTACCAACCACCATGTCACTTATGTCATCATCATAGCTACCACCCTGCCTAGACCTTGCCCCACCCTGCTCGACGGGTTGGGGGCGTTGGGTTGGGAGCGGGGATGAGTTGGGTAGTGGACGAGGGCTGGTAGCTATGACGATGATAGTGGTGAGTTGTGGTGGGGTGAGTGGTGGTTGTGACGGTGATAATAGTGGTGTGGTGGTAGGGGGTTAGGTTAGGTTAGGGTGGGTGGCGGGGTGGTAGCTGTGACGATGATAGTGGTGTGGTGGTCGGGTGGCTAGGAGTAGGTGGGTGTGACGGGGGCAGTAGTGGCATAGTGGTGGGTTTGGGTTGGGGTGGGGTGAATGGCGGTTGTGACGGCGACGGTAATGGTGTGGTGGTAGGAGGTTAGGTTAGGGGCACAACAGTAACAGTAGTAGCATGGTCGTAGTAGGGATGTCGGTGGATGAACGTGATGACAACAGTAGTGACATGGTGGTTAGTGGTGATTTGGGGTAGGGTGGGTGGCGGCGACAATAGTGGTGTGGTGGTGTTGGGGCATGACGAACAATAGTAGCATGGTCGTGGTGGGGGCAATGATGGGCGGTAATAGAATTCAATTTATTCACTTATGTCAAAGAATGTTGAATTCATTGATTTGTGGAATTCAATGGAATTTGAAAGATTTCATCTATTTCAAGAAGTGAACCAAACAAAAGAATTGGAATTTTGTCAAAGAAATTTGTCATTTCATTTCCGTCAAATTCCTTCGAATTATGCGAACCAAATGTCCCCTAAGGGTTGGGTTCCAGTGAGAATTGAAGTTATGAGTGAGAATGGTAAGAAGGGATATTCATCCTTGGATCAATTCTAATTGAAGATTAACATTAATGAGATGCATCAAATCAATTTCCGTGAGAAGCACAATTTATCGGGTGGGTGAGATTAAAAATGAACAAGGGTTCAAATCTCTTCTTATCTTAACTCATATTCTCATACGATCTTTCATTTTGAAGATAAAGGGTTGCACATTTGTCGTTTAAAGATTGGATATATTTTGTACAACTTTAGTGGAGAGAGCAATAGAGAAAGGGATAGAAATCAACATTGGACAGGAAACTCCTGATGATAGTTTCCAAGTATTTGGGATCTATGATCAAGAAGAGAGAGGTTGAGGGAAAACGTTGCACGTACATAAAGGTAAGATTCTTAAATTGGAAGGAGGTTAGATGAGTTTTGTGTAAGCGTCTAAATGGTGTGAGGCATGGCAGGTCTTAATGACTATGATATAATCATAACATTTTTTAAGGCGTGACTTATGACAGTTAATCTCTATATCATATATAATATTATACATATAAACATGTGTTTTATACTTTTACTCAATAAGACAATAAAATTAAACAATGTTTAAATTAAATTATATATCAAAACTAACAAATAAGACATAAAGATAATCAAATACCATGTTACCATAACTGTGCATTAGGCGAAGGTGTATCACAGACTTAACGTGGCATGAAACACAAGTCTTGAGCCATCATGGTTGTTGCGGTAGATCTTTTAGAACATTGGTTTTGTGTGACAAGGTGTTGTTAAAATTAAAGTGCAAATTCTAGAGGGTGGTCATCAGCTATTTTGAGTTGGTTTATATTCGATGTTTGAACCAACTTGGATTACTTGAATGGTTGAAATTTATTTAAGATACTATACAAATATCCTGTGATGGATTCAAATAAAAACCATTAATATTTTGAGAACTAGAAAACCAGCTATAATAAATCTTGAATAATGAAAATCATTCATTTATGAATGTGTGGATACTCATTATGAAAATTATTCATATTGAAAGTACATAATAATATTAATAAGAGTAAACTCTGATTTTGGTCCTTAAGATTTAATGAAAAGTCTGAAAGTGGAACTTAAATTTTGATAAGTCTAGACTAGAAAGTATTCCTGTAATTTGCATTTTGCCCTGAAATTGGTCCCTAACTACTAACTCCGTTATAAATATCGTTAGAGTGAGAGACAATTTTGTCTTTTTATCCATTTTCTTAATTTTAAGAAATTAATTATATATATACAATACATGTGTCTAATTAAATGAGAACTGTGTAGTTTGTGATAACTATGAGATTTAACGTGAACCACTCATTTGAGATATTTAAGGATATTTCTTAAATAGGATAATTTAGTAATTTTATTTATAACAACTCATTAAAAGATTTAATTAATTTTTTAAGGAAATATTTAGTTAATTTTAGTTATCTAATATATATTGTCTTTCAAAGATGTTTGTAAATCAAAGTGTATGACAGTGATAATATTTACAATATATCACGTGTAACACAATGTATCTCCATTGTTAAGTCTATTATAACGTACATTTTCTTTATTTTTATTACTTTACAAAGTGTATCACGGTGTGTTTTTTGTTATTTAAAATCCCTAAAATATCTTTAATTAATTTCTTAAATGGTTTAAAATATGGTTGAAATTGTTTTTCACACTCCCTGAATGCCCACCGTACATACATATACATTCACACACAAACACAGTAAACTTCAATTTGGTGTCATCGTTTAATCCCCTACACCGGTGGCTCCCCTTCCCCCGGCCATTCCGCTCCGGCGAACACCAGGAAACCACTCATCTCCCATCTCCGGTCTTCCCTCCTTCTGCCCCTCCGCCACCTGCACCGTACCCTCATCCCGTCACCACTGTTGTGAATCAACAGGCCATTCGCCTCCAAAAATCCATCACTCTCTTTCTCTACTTCTTCTTGCAGAGGGTACAAACCCATATCCAAAAATCCATCATGGGTTTTGAAGTGGTGACTCGATATTCGTCAAACAACCTCACTACCACCATCTCCATTGCCACAATGGTTGGCGTAATCACCATTATCCTCCAATCTAACTTCAAAAGCATCAGTTTCCACTTATTGATCGGATTTAAGGGTATTGACCAAATTTGTGATGAGTTGATTGAAGAGTCCCCCACCACTAATTGTTTCCTTCCTTATATTTGAATCCTGTAATCATCTCATCCCCACTGTACGTATTCCTCATCCACAACCACTCCACTGGGCCTTCTTTTCAAGTCTTCCCATGCTACCTTTTTCATCCTTTCCTCTCTTGTTAGTGGTTACTGGTCTTTTCATCTTCTTCCCCCCTCTATCATACCACCTTTGACCTTCCATGATTCCATCTCTTTCTAAAACCACTCACAAAGTGACAAACACAGAATTTCACTCAGATGGTTAGATCGGAAGGTATGATGCGTGTATACTGGTGGAAGTCTAACAGGAGTTAACGTGTTAGGTAGAGGAGGTGCTGGTGAGTTTGAGTTAACCGGTGTTTGGGTTGCAGGGGTATGTGTGTGGAATGGTGGAGATTAAGGCCGACGGAGAGGGCTTCACCGTCTGTTTGGGGGGAGCCGGGAGGAATACAATCACGGACCATGATATACATACACACATGTATATAATCAATATATCTAATTTAAGGGAAAAGTACAATAAAAACAAATGAAGTTTCTTGTTTGGAATGATTAAGTCCTTGAACTTTTTTTTGGAACAAATAAGTCCTTGAACATTCCAAAACATGTTAAATAAGTCATTGGACAATTTTTTGGAACAAATAAGTCCTTGGACATTCCAAAATATGTTAAATAAGTCCTTGGACAATTTTTGGAACAAATAAGTCCTTGGACATTCCAAAAAATGTTAAATAAGTCATTGGACAATTTTTGTAACAAACAAGTCCTTGAACAATCCAAAACATGTTAAATAACTTCTTGAACTTTTATAAAACATGTTGGATACATTCTTATGACTTATACAACTAGTTAAAGTGGTAAAATAGTGAAAAAAAAATCCCGAAAAAAACTCAATGAACATTCATATTTTGAACGATAAAGTGGTAAAATAGTAAAAAAAAATACTTACATTTACAAAAAAATAATTACATTTAAAAAAGATTTTTGATAAAGTTTATTTTAATTAAAATTAAAATATATTCTGTCAGTGATTTTTCAAACAAAAAAAATAATTATTATTAAATTTATTTTAATTAAAAATATATATCATGTATGTGATTTTTTAAATTAAAAAAAGATTTAAAAAGATTACTGGTGAAATTTATTTTAATTAAAAATAATATATTTTATAATTTTTTTTAGTTTAAAAAATCACTGACAAAATATATTTCCGGATTTTTTTTACTATTTTACCACTTTATCGTTCAAAATATGAATGTTCATTGGGGTTTTTTCCGGATTTTTTTCCCACTATTTTACCACTTTAACTAGTTGTACAAGTCATAAGAATGTATCCAACATGTTTTATTAAAGTTCAAGAAGTTATTTAATATATTTTTGATTGTTCAATGACTTATTTGTTCCAAAAATTGTCCAAGGACTTATTTAACATTTTTTGGAATGTCCAATGACTTATTTAACATATTTTGAAATGTTCAAGGACTTATTTGTTCCAAAAAATTGTCCAATGACTTATTTAACATGTTTTGGAATATCCAAGGACTTATTTAACATGTTTTGAAATGTCATATGACTTATTTGTTCCAAAAAAAAGTTCAAGGACTTAATCATTCCAAACAAGAAAGTTCATTGGTTTTTATTGTACTTTTCTCCTAATTTAATATAATATTTACTTTATTTTGTAAAAGAAAATTAATAAAAATAGAAATAGACTAAAATACCCTTTGCTCTAACGGAATCTTTTAACCGAGTTAGTGATTATTTTCAAAACAAAATATAAACCATAAGGATGATTTCTAAACTTATCATATTTCAGGTCCCCTCTCAAATTTAGAGTTTATTCTATTAATAATAATAATAATCTATATTATATTATAAAACATTTGACAAAAATTCTTAAAAACCACTTTTTATGCGTAGAGTATTGTTGTTTATTAATGCATATTACTTAAAACTCAAGATTGCAAGTAGATTGTGCGTAAATACAACTTATTAAAGCTTCATACCTGAATTCGTGTAACTAACTGGCAGATAACTGGATAAACATCTCATTTTAAATATAAAAAATCTAAAATATAATTAGCATAATCATTGAGTTCTAACATAATACTTAATTATTAACTTTATAAAATGTTATATTATTAAACCAAAATAAATTATTTTGTTATTAAACTTAAATTAAATTATACATAAAAAATGAGAACTTTTAAATAGTTGATTTGATGTTAACATTGATATATTTTTTTTAAATTTTTATGATATCTTCAAATTTATATTTTATTAAAAAATAAAATCATTATTGCTTTATGAAAAACACATAAAATCGTATTATAACATCGACAGAGACAAATAATAAAATAGAACATTTAAATCGAGATATGTCTCGCTGCATTGTGCGAGTAGTCTTCTGGTAATAATAATACGTGAAATCTATAATTAAAATAAAGAGATGATATCATGAATAATAAAAATTAGGATTATCAATAAAATATCATACTTGTGGTGCATTAATTCCAACGTCTATATCGATCCAGCTTTTCCCAAGCGTTTTCTGAATTCCTCTTTCTTTCATAACCCTAATAATCTCTACTGATTCATTCCATCGTCCAATCCCTCTATAAATATTGGCCAAAAGAACATAACTCAAATGATAATTTGGATCCAAATCCATCATCTTTTTTGCAACTCTTTCTGCAACTGTCAAATCTGTGCTGGTTGTACAAGCACCAAGAAGTGTTGCCCAAAGAGATTTATCATCCTTAAACCTCGACTCCGCTATTAAACGTTCGGCCTCTTCCGTAACCCCAGCTCGGCCTAAAAGATCGACCATGCAACTATAATGCGCAATCTCAGCTTCGATTCCATACTTTCTGTTCATCAACGTAAAGTATCCACGCCCTTCGTTAACCAAACCAGCATGGCTACAAGCAAAAAGGACACCAATGAAACTAATGCTATTAGGCTTCATGCCCTCCTTGATCATATCATTGAACATCCGGATAGCATCTAAGCCTCTTCCGTTTCGAGCAAACCCGCTAATTATTGAGTTCCAAGTTATCAGATTTCTAATCTGCATCTGTTGAAAAAGTCTGGAAGCAAAATCTATGCAGCCACATTTTGCATATAGGTCAATTAAAGCTGATTCTATAATAACATATCGATATCCATGTTTCCTTAGATACTGGCAATGAACCTCTTTTCCTTGTCTCACGGCTGCCAAACCTGCACAGGCGCGAATAATGGTTCCAAAACTGTAGAGATCAATCTCTTCCATTTGCCTGAAAAGCTCAATAACAGTATCAAAATCGCCCTTTTGGCAGTACCCACCAAGCAATGCAGACCAACTCACTGAGTTTCGTTTGGTTATTCTATCAAAAACCCGTTGAGATTCATCCAAGGAACCACATTTCCCGTACATGTCGACTAAACTGCTGTCAACAAACACGTTATCATGAATTCCAGAGGTAATGAGCTTTGAATGAACTTCTTTCCCTTGCTTTAACCTTCCTAAGTTGCCACAAGCGGTCAAAACCGATCCAAATGTAAAGCAGTCTGCTGACATTCCATACTTCCTCATCATTGAGAAAAAGAACCCCAATGCTTCTTGGTACAAATCGTTTCTTGTAAAGGCGGAAATAACTGAAGTCCAACAAATGGAATCCGGTTCAAGCATTTCATCAAACAGCTTGCGGGCATCACATGAAACATAATTTCGCCCATACATATCGACCAACGAGCAAGCAATTACATGATTGGTGTCAAACCCACGTTTAAAAACAACCCCATGAAATCCTCGACCAATATTTACGTCTTCAAGCTCCGAACACGCTTTAATCACCGAAGACAATGTGAAACCATTTGGTTCAACACCAAGTTCCAACATTTCTTTGAACAAATCAAGCGAACACCTTGATTTTCCAACACGTATGAAACCCGAAATCATAGATGTCCACGAAACAACATCTTTAAAATGAAGTCCATCGAAAACCCGTTTAGTTTCAATGAAATCGGAGCTTAGTTTGAAGTAAAGGGCGAGCAGGCTGTTGCCGACGAAGCGGTCTGTTTCGAGTCCCGTCTTGATGACATGGGAATGTAGTTGGAGGCCATGGTTGAACGAATTGGACTTTGTGCATGTTTGTAAGAGAATAGCGTAAAGGATTGGTTTTTTGGTGAAACATTTCTGGGAATGAATGGAGTTTAGGAGATGTATGGCATCCAAAAGTAGGTTGCTTTTGCAGAGGGAAATGATGTCGCATTCGATGGTGGATTGGAGGTTGAAAGGTGCGATAGAACTGTGATGGCGCCGTAAGAGAAGATTCATGAAGCTCTGTTAAACGAAGAGCTGATTCGAAGCTTTTTTAGCACCAGGTTTTTTAAGACAGGGAAAGGGCTATAGATGGAAAATTACAAAACCTTGGGGGACTACTTTAAAAATAATTATACTTTTATGAGTAAACTACAATTTTGCTCCCTATGGTTTAACTAATATTCGAAAGTGGTTTCTACACTTCAATAACTATAATTATAACCCCTATTGTTTACATTTTGCTTTGAATATTTTCCTCGTCACTAACTCCGTTAATTTATCCGTTAAATATGAGGCATTTTGATTTCTTTGTCTTTTTCTATTTGTTTTTATTTATTAATTATGTTTTTCTATTTTCTTATTAAAAAAATCAAAAAGATAAATATTATATTATTATATATCTATACTATACGTATACAATTTGCAAATGAGGTTATATGGTGGGATGATAATGTCAACAGTATGCATACCATCTGGATTCACGAGAATACCAGTCGTTCACTAGATCTAGATTCACCTGTGGTGTGCACACTTAATTTGTTGATCACATTGTGCGCATTTTGGGAACAGAACACCTGTTGCACTATATTGAAATTGAGGAAATGGGTGATGAAAAAGAATCATAATTACCCTAACAATCAACATTAATAAACCTAACATAAAATCAAAATAAGAACCCTAACCTGAAATCAAAATAAAAAAACTCTAACCTAATATCAAAATAAAATTTATAGAAATACAATAATTAACCTAAAATAAAATCAACATTAATACACCATTTTATCATTAACTATAGAAATACAATAATTAACTAAAATTGATTGTTTATTGAGATCTCAAAAAATTTAGAGTTCTCAAATGATTAAGCTCCATTAAAAATAAACTAAATAAATAAATAATATGATATAATAAATTCTTTTAATCTTTTAAAGGAAAATAAAAAATAAGTAAAAGGATCAAAATGCCCCTTACTTAACGGACAATTTTAAAGAAAATTAGTGATCATGAACCATTTTCAAAACAAAATATAAATAATATGGACGATAAAATTGTAATTATTAAAGTCTATGAACCACTTTTAAAGATTCGTGTAAACCACGGTGATCAAAATTGTAGTTTACTTTTATTTTTAAGTTATGATCTTTTTATTTTGGGTGTTGGACTTAGTTTATTATAAATACATCCTTGTAATATGTGTTTTGCTTTGGATTTATCAACTCCTCTCCGTAACAAGTGAGAGAAGTATTTGTTTATGTTTGATGAAATATCCAAACCTGCATAAATAAAACATTGAAGGGGTGTTTTGAGGACAAACACAACTTTGAAGCCTATTAAGAGGATATCAAGATTAAGCATACAGGTGGTCATCTGAGATTAGTCGGCTCACATAGCAGGGCTGGATATCCAAGTTAATCAAAAAGAAAAGATTAAGCATATTTCTACAATTATTTAGAGCACATAGAAACTCAATTTTTCATTGAATTATTGCCCGCCCATCCAACTATCATCCCAAACTCAAAGTACTTGAGTTCCTCAAGCTTTATTGAGATCCATCGAGTTCGGCTCGTATCCAGCTCTAATGGACGCTAAACATGGAGAGGAGAATGGCCGAAATATTTATGGTCGAGAAAGGCAAAGAGCAAGGTTTTGGTCATCGAATTCCATCAGACCCTGTTGCATTTCGTCAAGCTCCTGCGAGCCCTCGTGAATCCCCCATTGAGTTACAACAATTTCCATAAAGCCTCGTCGTTTCATGGTTTTGCACTCGGTAGTTATTTGTGTTAATATGTTTCTTTTACATCACATTACAGAGTCGTACTAACTTTGCATTCTTTTGGTTATAATTCTAGTCTTTTTTTTATTTGATTCTTTGTTCCCATTGAACATCTCCGGTTGAAGAAGAAAGAATTTTTTTTATCCCTGTCGGATATGGGAAGAACTCATGTAATCTTTTCAAAGAACTCGTTACGAAACTTACCAACTACCACATACACACACATACATGTAATATATATAAAATAAGAAAATGGTTCAATCACATATGATTTTACATTGACATCAGAGCCCCCCATTTTTTGCCCGTTAATGTAAATCACATGTGATTTTGTACGTAATTTGACCATTTTCTTATTTTCTTAAATAAGTATCATTCTCGTATGAGCATACCTCTCCCTCTCTCTCGATACATACATACACACACACACACACACACACACACATATATATATATAGAGAGAGAGAGAGAGAGATTATTTTGCAAACCACGTTATTTATACAAACTGTACAAACCTCATTCTCATTCAACCAATCATAATTTTTCATTTTGTTCATTTTTTTGTAATTATGAGAGGTTAATTAATCATTTTTATTGTTGAGGGTGTTCATCATGGATATTATCAACTTCATTATATTAATTTTAGGGAAATACATGAAACAGTTTCATTAAAATTTCATAACCATATATGAAACAACTTCATCAAAAAAAAAACATTATATGAAACAATTTCACAAGATTAAATAATGAAATCGACGGATGAGGGTGGTTTGTGCGTTTTATACAAATACGGGTGGTTTGCATTTGATCGTTTCTCTACATATATATATATATATATATATATATATAGAGAGAGAGAGAGAGAGAGGCTATTCAAAGGAGAATTCAGTAATTTATAATAACCGTAAGATCCAATATCAATAACCAATTAAAGGTTAAATTAGAAAATTAATAATTATGGTAATTTTAATTTAAAATATTAATTAAGAGCATTTTCGAAATTTTAAAAATCCCATCTCTCCTCTCTGCGGCGAACTTTATTCCGGCAGATCTTATTCCGACGAACATTATGTGCACACAATATACACTGGTACCTAAAAAAATATCGTTAAAAAAATATATACAAACGATATTGACTGTGATACATATATTTACATGCAAGATAATATTGTGATACCTTTGTAAAGCAAATAAAATAACAAAAATACACATTGTGATACCTTTTGCAAAACAATGAAAATAATGGAAATGTATATTGTAATACACTTTATAAAACAATGTAAATACATTGTGAATATTATCACTATGATACACTTTGATCCACAAACATCTTTAAAAGACAATATATTAGGTGATTAAAATTAAGCATATTTTTCCTTAAAAAATAATTAAATCTTTTGACGACTTGTTATAAATTAAATTACTAAATTACCTTTTAACTTATTTAAGAAATGTGCTTAAATATCTCAAGTGAGTGGTTTACATTGGATGTCACGATTATCACAAATTACATAGTTCTTATTTGATTAGGCCCCTGTACACACACACACACACACATATATATATATATATATGTGTGTGTGTGTGTGTGTGTGTGTGTATGTGTGCGCGCGCAAGCACGTGTGTGTATACATATATATAAGGCGAAGGATTGTGTGAGATGAAGATTTAAGGTGAGAAAAGTAAAAAGTGATTTGAACACTTGATTACTTTTAATCTCAAACTCACTCATAAATTACACTTGATACGGGGATTGACCCGGTGCATCTAAGAGCATCTCATCCTAATGTGCACCCAAGGATGAAGATCTACTTCTTACGCTCTTCACTTTAACTAACTCAACCTTATATAGAGGCAAGTTCAAACGAAAAGTTTCAATATCATATATGATTACATACATAATATACAAGTTTAATCATATATGATTAAACACATAGACATTTAATGATATATGATTAAAGATATATAATTATATAAATCGTATTTAGTTTATTTATCATTATCTCTTTATGATTTTGCAATCAATCATAATATAATATATAAAATGATTTCCTTTGCAATGTAAAAGGTTTGTTATTTTGTAGATTTCCACTTGGTTCCCACAAATCTTAAGTAAGGTGTAGTTTATTAAACACTTATTTGGGTAAGTGTTTATCAAGTCGCTTTATTTTACCGAATGAATATAACAATGACTAAAATTCTTACCCGGTAAGAACGAAGACAAGAATGGAGAGTCTTACCTGGTAAGTGAGGACAAAGACTCTTACCATAGTTAGCGTTTACCAAGATAAATTGTTGCATATGCTGCGTTTTAGTGAATAAAATCTTATCCAATAAGTAAACGATGGTGTTGAATTTTACCGGTAAATACTTACCGCATAAGTGTTTAGGTAAACGACCCCTAAATAACATTAAACATGTGTTTTGATATAAAAAGTTGATTAAGCATAAAAACTCAACTTTCCCTATACGAAAAGGCATGTAAAACACATGTACCACCCATAAAGTGGTGGGTTTGTGTCTTTTTACAAGTACACATTACCCTATATAGTATATACCATTCAGATCATCTCACCTTTACAACATAAATAGGACTAGCATTTTTGTCAACAACTCAATTGCTACCATTCTTTTACATAATCAATTAAATTCACAATTAATGCATCCATTTATGCACTTCATCCATTCATTTTATAATTAAAGACATAAATCAAAACAAGTATAATGGACATAAGAGTTGTTTTTACGATTTATTGATATTCCATAGGAACCTGATCAAATCTAGGTTTTTTTTTTATTTTAATAATATGACTTTGTTAAGATTTGTCATACAAAAGGAACATGTTCATTCGTTTCCAATTCAATCACCCAATTTTATCAGGTTTCCTCATGTCTTCATGTATTAAACTTCTGTAATAAACACAGTCAACTTCATTTTTTGGATTAGAAGATAACTAATTTGAGTGTAAATCAACACCCTCTCCCATCTAAGATTAATTATATAAGATTGACTAGTGAATTCCATTTTACGAGTCATCTGTAATAGCATTTTCCGTGTGATACTTGCATTCATATAAAGCGATAGACTATGAAAACCATAGGTTCAACAAAACTACAATCCTAATTTTACTGCTGTTACCCTAAAGTCAATCCCAAAAATCGAGAATCTCTGTGGATATCAACTCTTTTTGTCTTTTACACCACAAACACGATGTAGGTGAAGTGTTTGTCCTCCAAACCCCTAAAACTACAAAATTGATGTAGTATTCACATATTATTAGCACGTCAATTCAAATCTTAAAGTCAAATGTTAATCGTTAAAACCTAACTAGTTTGACATATATGTATACCAAATTATTGACTATATCCTTAAGCCCTTGGAACGTTGTTATTGGAATCTTTATGGCAGTACACGGAAATGTTTTGAAGCTTTTGTGTATTTAAATCTTAACCATTTTCCATGTTTTTGGATACATTAATGAAAACTCCCTTGTTTGAGTAAATTTTATCGGCTTTAGTAATATGTAAATTATAAGTGCGGTCCTAAAAAGCCATACATTCTTCGAAACATGACGGATCTTTTATCTTTTTTTTTTTATTAACTTGGATATCCAACCCGTTATGCGAGCCGACTAATCCTAGGGTAATCACCTGCTTTGCAGATAGCCCGGAGTCACCACATTTGAACCTCCGTGGCCACACAAGGATTTTTATTTCTCGTTGAATTTGAATCTGAGACCTTCTGGTACTTTTGACATTTGGAGCCAAGTTCAAACCAATCAGACACTATCCTTGTGATTTTTATCTTTCCTTTTAAGGTTAATTACAAATAAACACGTATGTATATATTTTTATCAAATAACCAATATTACTATAATCGTATAAAAATAACATTCGTTACAACTGTTTTATTAGGATCGAAAAATTTTCGAATTTTTTTTATATTTTAACTATTTAATTATTAATTAAAAATATTTATTAAATAATGTAATGATCCAAATATTGTATTTAACATCATGTATGCCTAGTTTCATGAAGGAATTTTTCCTTTTTGAGTAATATGGATTTTCGGATCAATTTATATGCACCAACTAATTCCCAGACGATAATGAATGGTCTGAAGTCATCATAGGTGAACTTCAATGACTACAAAGGTTTTTACGGCATCTGGATTCGAACCCAAGATATATGAGATTTTCTACTATATCCCCTAAAACTTAAAAATTAAAGTTTAAGTAGTTTTTAAGACAACATAAATGTATTAAACTAGAAAAGTGATTAGATATTATAAAACCATCCAAGTCAAGAGACTATTTTCAATTACATTTGAATAATTTAAAATTTTACTTATTTTTTTATGTATAATGTTCATTAACAAAATTTAAATATGAATACATAAAACATTTTTATAAAGTATTTAACAAAATAAAATTTTGTTACCAAAAATTTAAAAATACAAAATGATTGGATATTCAAAGTAATATTTATAATAAAAAAATTCAAAATACTTTATTAAATAAATTATGTTAAGGATTAAATAATGATATTTATTAATTATAGAAAATTCAGTATGCATTTTGTAAATACCAAAACTTATATAATAATAATAAGTAAATAAAAATGTATATTACATTAAAAGAAATGAGCTTATAATTTCTAGTGCTTTTAGTATTGTTTTTATCGTTGCTCCATAAATTCTATTAAAAGTTTTGTCTAATTTTGAAGAACTCTTCAAACCTTTGTTATATTTCTATTATTTTCATTAATGATGTTGGATAAATTATCATTTTAAATAATATATAATTTTAAGTTCATTTAAAAAATAAATTAAATTTTTTAAAAATAATATTGTTCTTGTCATTATTGTTGTATGTTATTATTATTATTATTATCTTGTAATAATATTAATAATGATAATTTTACTTGACGACAAATTAAAAGTTTATAAATGATCTTTTAATTATTTATTATTATTTTATTTCAATTTTAAAGTTATTATATGTAAATTAAACATATTTTTTTTATTTCTAATTCAGTCAACTAAACGTGTGGAAAAACTTGGTTAATGGAAATATCCAATACATTTACTTCGCCCTCACATAATTACCTTAGACTCACCTTCACTTATAACATGTCTTAATACTCTTTTCCCTTATAAATATGTATTTTTGAGAATCTGAGTGTATATATATATATATATATATATATATATATGAGAGAGAGAGAGAGAGATCGATTTCACAGTTTTTGAAATTAGAGAAGAAAAAAAAAGAATTATCCTAATACTGATTTCGTGACCCAAGATTGTAAGAGTCGAAATATAGTGGAAAGTGTTCGATACATGATTCTCGTATTTTATCCCGTCGTATCATCATCTCCAAATCCATACATCTAATCGTATGTTCGTAAAATTAACATGTTTCATATTTTTCTTTCAAAGACAATTAAAATTTATTCTATTTCTCATTTCCATTTTTTTTTCTTTTCCATTACGAATCTTTTCCTTTTTTTCTCAAATTAAAGAATAACATATTAAATTATTGGCTCTATCCATTATTATATCATACGTATAGACAAGATTAGGGTAAAGCTCTAGGAATCGAATTTAATATTTATCTTATATTTTAATATATTTATTTATTGGTTAATCAATTAAAGATTAATTTTTTTAAAATTATACATACACCACAATAATTTATAAACTAGTAATTCAAAAAAGTGTACATTAGTAACAATATTTAATGCTTAAATAAATTATTTTTCTAAAAGCATTTTGTCACATGTTTATATTAATCTTAAGTTTGAATTTCTTAAGCAATAAATTTGAAAGACGTGATAAATAGACCCTTACCCTACACTACAGAAATAAAAAGTAAAAATTAAATAATAATTGAAAAAAAAAAAAAAAGAGAAAGCCCCAAAGTACAAATACACAGAATATGAAATCTCACAAAGGGGTATTGGGTTCAGCATCATCTATATGGCCCTAGCCTTAGGTCATGTCATGCACTCCCCACATCATATTAATTCCCATTTTTACCCCTCACATATGACATCACAATACTCACTTTATTTACACTTTTACCCCTCCTCCAGTTTCCTTTGCTGTTGGCCAGCTCATCTCACCCTTTCTCCAGATCCCAAGTTTCCAAATCCAGAGTAGCATACGATATTTCATAAACAAGGTACAAGTTCTTATAGCAGGAAAACTCTGAATTTATAAATCTTTGACATGGTAAAATTATTTACCTTCGGCATATCACCGAAAACGAAAGAGACGCTGGCTAAATACACGCACTCGCCAAACCCTTTTGCTTTCTTTCTCACACATTCACCCCTTTCTCTGCCAGATCTTGAAGATGCCTGCTTGTTAAAGATCTCTCGCCGTCCTCTGTTATCTTCTTCTCTCTCTCGCTCACATTCGCATTTTGGATATAGCTAGTAGTAATTCTAGGTAGTATATTGCAAGAATTTGTTTGAAAGATATTATACCCATTTGGAGTTCATCTGATTCCTGTTGGTTTTTTGTTTTTCCTGACATTCGGTTTGATTCTTATCATAAAGGATTAAAAAACTTTGGTGTTTGTGATGGCGAATGGTGCGGAAGAGAGGGGGAGCCTGGTGATGGAGGATGGTTCTGCAATGTTTAGCGAGGAAGAGGTGAGCGAGATATCTGGGTTCAAGCGTGGCGGCGATGATCACGTGGAGGTCACGTGCGGATGCACTAGCCACTGCTATGGTGACGCCGTTGGCACGCTTAGGGTCTTCGCTAGCGGTGATCTCGAAATCAGCTGCGATTGTACCCCTGGTTGTCAGGAAGGTCTCCCCTTTTTTACTTGACCCACTTGCATGTTAAGGTGACTATGTATGATATGTGTGTTAATCTTGGAGTTGCTGTATAATATCACTCCGTCGTCGATTTTGAATCCAATTTTTAGCCAAAAAAAAAGGATGCTAACTATCATCATATTGATCCATGAAATTTTTTGCCCATTTTGAGATTGGAATTTTCAACAGATTAAGTGTATGGTGATATGCCAAAGCCAAACTAAAGAAATGATATCTGTTGTCTACTATTTTCTTAACGTCTATCTCTACTTTCACCCCTTTACGATTCTATGTTATGTTGGTTTTGTGTTGTTTCTTTATAAATTTCAAAAAGCTTCTTCCTTTTAGCTTTTTCTTCTTCTAATATGTTCTGTGAGCTTTTTCTTCAAAGGTGATGTGATGCTTATATGATCTTTGTCATTGTGAGGTTGAGAATGATAGTTTTGTTTTGCATAATGCTTTTGATCCGATGATATAAACAAGGTTCCGTAACACATCGGTTTAGCATTAGTAGATGTTAAGTATTTCCTTATGCGCTTCTAGCTTTGGAAACATGTGTTCTCTATATATCAGCGCCTAAGATGATTGCAAGTTATGTAATGCCAAACCAACAAAGATTAGCATATCATGTCTGAGATGAAAACCCTGGCAAAAGTTGGAAACCAGTTGTATTGTTTTTGCTTCATGTTATTCAGCATTATCACTTTTTTCATATTTTCCCTCATACATTGCCAGGTGAGATTTATGGTGGCATTTGGGTTGTCTGATATATGATCCTGGTTTTCTATTCTGTAATTTGATTCTCGAATTTGGTCAGGAATTATGGGTTGCTTACCTTAGTCTCAGGAGGATTTGATAATGGACATTTTCAATTCTTTATGGTGTTATACTTATTATGGTCAATGTAGTGGGAAGTACTTAGCTTGTTTCATGTGGGTGTGTTTGATACACGGACTGGGGAGAGTGAATTAGACGGCTAAAAAAATTGTGGAATGTTTTAGGGTTTTAAATTGGTATCAGTAGTTTAGTAATTTACCATTCTTGTCCTATATCCTTGATTTTTATTCTACCCATTTTGGTGGGACAGAAAAAATGGATTTTTGTTCTACTCATGTCGCATTGCTTCACCATCCAATCTGGCGCCAAACATGGGACAACAAATTTTTGTACTGTTTTGTTTCATTTTGTTCTACAAACCAAAAACACCCACTAGAACGAGTAGAATGTCAAACAAGCTTTGCTTTCACGTAATAAATATTGGTTCAGAAGGATATTTGTGCATCTAGTTTTCTTGCAGTAGTACATGATCTCGTTTTTGAATAGGAATCTTGGGATTTTATGGTTTAAACAGTAAATATTTATCTTTTTATGTTCAGACAAGCTGACCCCAGCTGCTTTTGAGAAGCATTCTGGTAGAGAAACAGCCAGGAAATGGAAGAATAACATTTGGGTCATTGTTGATGGAGAGAAGGTTCCTTTGTCAAAAACTGCACTCCTCAAGTACTACAACCAAGCTTTGAGGAAAACATCCAATAGATCCCAAACTGGCCGAGTTTGTCATCGAGACGAGTTTCTTAGATGCACGCAATGCAATAAGCTCCGCAGGTTCCGTCTCCGCACAAAAGAGGAATGCCGGGCTTACCATGATGCTTTTATTAATGATCATTGGAAGTGCTCCGATATGCCTTACGATAAGTACGCCCTCATCTATTATTATCGCTACTCTTTTTGCATATCCTATGATCAAAAATTGCAACATTTGACTTATGAAAAACTTTCCAGAAATGTTGCAATTCTTATGGAGGTTTACTCGTTTTGGTATATGGTTTTTGCACGAGTCGCGGTCTTTACCAAGTCTCATGCATCTCTGTTTCATTCAGAATAACGTGTGAAGAGGAAGAGGAACGTGCAAGCAGGAGAGTGTACAGAGGGTGTTTGCGGTCGACAACATGCAAAGGTTGCACATCTTGTGTTTGTTTCGGTTGTGATACCTGTCGTTTTTCCGACTGCCGCTGTCAGACGTGCATTGACTTCACCAGGAACACCAAACCTTAACAGCTGTCTAAATCGGTTTTAACCTTGACCTTAATTTGCATTTCTAGCAGAACTATCAAATGTTTTCGAGTTTATGTACTTTGAAACACAGATTGACGTGTTCGATTTTGGGTGCTGATGCACATTTTGGCTAATAATCACCAACTCATCTTACGATGCTCATAGTTTTGTTGCAAATTCTCCACTAAGCCGCTCTATACTAAATGTTCATCGGGTAAGCATTCATCTATCTTATCGTGCAAGCATAACAAGTACGAATTTTATCCAACAAGTGAGGAGAAGAATCTTACCTGGTTAGCACTTATCGAGTAAAAGATGTTTACAAACAATTTATTTCGATGGTGATTTTTGTCCGTAAATACTTGCCTAATAAGCATTCGGTCAACTAACCTTGAAAACCATTTTGAGTTCACTCTTGAGATCCTCTATTCATTGTTTAATTGGGTGTTTTTTAGGTGCTCATTTTTCTTGGTCTATTATAACAATTTGTAGCATCATCTCCGATAATGAAAATCAAAAAATAATTATACTCAATTTTAGAAAGGTTTTTTTTCATTTTAAAGATTACAACATTAATTATATTATTAAAATAAAGTCGGGTTCAAATGAAAATGACTAAGGGGTCGAATACCTGATTCTTGCCCGATAAGTGCATACCTGTAATATTCAACACTTTCATTTACCTTACCGGATATGATTTAAATTTATTAAAACGACATCGTATGCAACATTTTTATCTGGGTAAGAGTTGTCACTTTCGCTTACCAGGTAAGAGTCGTCACTTTGGTTTATCGGGTAAGACTCTAAGTCCTTGTCATGTTCATCTGATAAGATGAAATGACCCGATAAACACTTACCAGGTAAGTGTTTAGTAAACAACCCTTACATAAAAAAAAACACGGAAATGGTCGGATCACATATGATTTAACATTAAAATTATGTATCTGCGAAAAATTACTTGTGATTCGTGCGACTTTTTGTGTTGACCTTGTTCCATAATCACATATCATTTAAGTACAAAATCACATGTGATTTAGTTTTTTTCGTATTTTAATCATCTATCTATTAAAACATTTCATATATTTGATAAAATATTAATTATCTCCCATAAATATTTAATTTCAAAATTACTCATCAATGGAACGTAATAAAAAAATCTATCGTTATAATCCTAAATAATTTCTCAATCGCTCTTGCTTTTAGAATTTGAAGAATATGAAACAAAAACTTATTCAAAGTTCCCAATATTTTTATTTTCTCAGTTTTAAATAATTTATTAGAAACGGGTTAAGATTGCAATTATTATACCAGGGTCGGGTTCACGTGATACCGGCACATTTTCGTGAGACTTGTGGGACCATTTTTTTTACACTTTAAACTTCACAGCAAAACGCTGTGAATGTAAAAAAAACTGAACCTTCACAGCAAAAACACTATGAAAGTTACCTTCACAGCGTTTTGCTGTGAAGTTTCAACTGTAAAAAAAGTAGTCTTATAAGTCTCACAAAAACAAATTGGTCTCACGTTATCCAAAATCTATTATACTATATGTTTCTCCATTTCCTGACTTTGATGCAAAATATGTTGATATAGTATAACTTTTATACATATATATTCTATCGGAGTGCTTATCTTGTAACTTTTGTAATCGCAATTTGCCTAAAACCTTAGGTTAAATATAAATTATAAAACTACAAGCTTACTAATTTCACTTACAATATTTTTAATACAATTACATATATTTTGGATAATCGAATTGTATGTTTTCATACTTCAATAATACATAATCTTCATGTTTCAATCTCAAAGGCCAAGTAATCATAAAATTGATAATTCTTGACTAATTTTTTTCCTTTAATTTTATATTTCATCCCAATTTACTCCTATCTCATTTTCTAAAAAATTAAAAAATATATATAAGAAATTCATGGAAAATACTAAAAATGAGGATATAAAGTATAATCCGTGACGCCTCTATGTACTACATAAGGAGCGGACTAAGGACCTATTGGTTCTGCCTTCTTTTCTTATTCTTCTTTTATTTAGTGAACGTGTCGTCTCTTGGGTAGCTCATTTGGCCATGTCTCTGTCATCTCGTCATTTGAACTGGATTTGATTTCACCCCTATTTAAAAACTGTAGGCGTGGCTTTTTATTTTGTGTGTGGTGTTGTGTAAATCTGTCAAGTACCTCTTCAACCAGGTCAGATGTGGAAAGTGCTCCTCGTGACTTTGAGAGGATACTTGATAGAATCTCTTGAGTTTCTGAAGTGGACTGAGAGAAGCGGAGGCAATTACCTCTCCATTGGATGATGTCCGATCTTGTTTGGGTTGTTATTTTGGACAATCAAATTGATACTCTAGGCATTCTAACTCATGATTATTATGATGTGATGTTACGTGGTTGTGCCATGAATTTTTTGAATCTAATCCACTATGTCCTCTAGTTCAACTATACTCGCTTGTTAGTCTCTCCGGCTCTCGACCTGCTTCAGTCTCTTTAAAAACTTTGGCAAGTGGGTTTGTTCTGCTACCTTTCGATGTTGATTATTACCAAACCACAACTAACCTTGCTTTTACCTTCTCATAGTTGTTTCCTTCAGTTTAAATTGTTGAAATGAAAGCAAGATTAAGTGCGAACTTACTCAAGGGTTATAGGTTTTCTAATTGTTCCTGCCTTGTGCTCTTCCGTCCTTCATTTGAATCGATGGAATAATCAGTCTAGTATTGAAGTGCAGTCTTATAAAAGCCTATGTGACTGTGCATAGAGAGACGATTGAACTATAAACGATAGGTTGGTCTAAAAAGGAAAGAAGAAAAGGCTAAGTATCAGATCGATCAAATTGAACATATGATAGGTTAGGTTCATGTTGTTCATTGGGAATTGAAGAGGGGAGAACGAGCAAGTTAAAAGTTGACTCCGTAAGACTCTCACCAGACTTTAGAAAAAGTGGTGTCCKAAGGTACTTTTTAAGCTACATAATTAGTCTTCTCGGTGACTAACAATGGAGGACTTTTTTAATTCTTATGATTCAAGCCCCTTTAGCTTATTATTTCATAGGATGACCGGGCAGAAATTGAATGAAGGAAGCTGCAAAGATCAAAGTCAAAATATGTCCTAGAGAAGAGCCTACTTATGAGCGGAAAACGAAGTCTTTTTGCAATGGGTTTAGTGCCAAGATTGCCTACTCATGTGCTAGAGAGAGTGGAACTTTACTAAGACCCAAAAATGGGAAATGTTTCGCTTTGAAATCACCTTGCTTCTTATATCTTGCATTAAGTATTTAGCGCGCACACACACACACACACACACCATAAAGTCATCGATAGATGGAGTGCAACCTGTAGAACACATGTAACACACGGTCGGATTGATCATGTCTTATGTTGTATCAATGTCTCCGTTTTAGGAATAAGGTTATGGAATTCTTGATACATTTTTTAAATCGAAAGATGTCCACAGGGAGCAGTTTCATTATAAAATAGTCACTCAATCTTGATTTATGAATTATTATAAATAATTGACAGAATAGAAAAAATTGAAGATTTGGAAAAAAGAACTTTTATTGATACTTATTTTAAGCTCTTTCTTTATTTTTTTGGTAATTTTTTTTATAATTATAGAAATAAAAAGATCAACTTTAAAAATCATGAGAGTTATGTTTTTTTAAAGAAAAGTATGTATAAAAGAATAATTATAATCAAGAAATCCTCAAATATGATGACGTGAAAAATATGGATAAATGATAGAAATTTTCAGTAAAACCATTGTCAACGTAAAGTAGAAAAGTAAAGGATAGAAAGTGAAATTTAATAGATATATGAAGGGCTATACCTGTAATTCACTCAAAATTAACAGTCAACTAGATCTCTCTCGTCCACTCCTGCCCTGCTGCCTGCTACACACTGTTTTTCAGTGCTTGGCTGATGCCAAAATCTCACACGTCAAACCCTAGATTGTTCCTTTAACATCATACCTCTTGATCTCAATTCAGTTGAATTCACCATACCCCTAGATTTCCATCAGTTCTTAAATACTTCGATTTGATTCGTATTGCCTGCCGGCAGTGGTGGGTTGTTATTTATTTGTACTTGGATGCGACTTTAGGGTTTATCAGGTTGTAAATATAAGGAAATGAGAAGACCAAGGCCGGAGTTTCGGCGGTCAGCGAGGCGGCGATTTTCGAATGTCTTTTGGTTAACATTATGTGGATTGGTGGCTTTGATGTTGATCGTTTTATTAAGTCGAGAGAGCACCCAACCTAGATCCAGATCCGTGTTAGCTAAGGTAATTTGAAGGATCTTAATTATTCTGAATTTAATCTTTTTTAAGTTGAATACAAGTTCTTTATGGTTGTCTTGTGAACGTGCTATTCCAATACGGTTGTGAATCGGAAATGTAGTGTGGTAACTGATTATTGGGACCTGCTGCTCGCAATGTTGGTACACCCCATCCTTACTAGTTACTTCGAAATCAGTATTACTTGTTTGAAACTGCATGAAGAATTAAGTGTTCAAATAGAAGTTAAGAATAAAATTCGGATTTTATTTTGTAGTCATAAATCCAGTGCCTGAAATTCTTTTATTTGTAGTTTGCAAATTGTGAAGTAACTCTTGCTGAAATAAGAATGTGATCCAAAAGTAGTCCCGAATATTATTGTTTCACCAAATATAAGTTACCACCGTTCCTAGTATGATAAATAATGGGAAGATGAATCAGATGTAGAAGTTGGTTTGCATATGCAACATGCCGGCTCTCATGGTAATGGTGCAGAGAATTGACATTGGCTTTCTCTTCTATCCAAACCTAATTGGTTGTATGAAGGGAATCGAAGTGCAATATACCAGGTTGGTCATCCAAATAAACAATTAGGATTGTTTTCACAACGAAAAATATAGATCGGAATAGAAATTTTATTATATACCATTTGCCCTCCCACCCTACCAATAAAGAGGCTAAAAACATCATATAGTAGAAGGTCGTAGTTCAACACCAAGACTCTGACCAATCTTAAGGTGCACAAATGGAAGGTTGTAGTTCTCCATATGACTCTGACCATTTTGAGCTGAATGTATGGACCAACTGGTCCTTTGGTTTAACACATGGATTATTAACAATTTAAGGCTACAGGGGGTTAATGCACACACACACAAACAACATGTGTGTGTACAAGAACCATACCGATAAAAGGAAGAAGTTGTCTTACAATTTTATAAATTCGATATAAAATATAAATTTACTTAGATGCAAGTCTTATCTAACATTTACTTCTACTTAGCTTGTCCATACTAGTCCAAACCATCAAGGGAAAAGAATTCTATCTTGCTTAGTCTTCTTTCTATCATAGTAATAATACCGGTGTTCTATTTTAGATTTTTGGCCTTAATGTCTAATTGCATTAACCATGAATTTTCATCTTCCCTTTGTAAAAAATGACCTAAATCACTCCTATATCACAGTTTCATATCTCTTTTATTCATGTCCAACAATTTTGGGATAATTTCAATGTTACACAGGGTGCGCAACTCACCTTACGTCCTTACCAATCACCCAAGATTGGGACTTGGCAAGGGTACAAGCACCTTTGCTTCTAGTATGAAGAAATCGACATAAAAACATAGACCACAATAGATAGTAGTTTGTCATATAATGTCTAGCCTCTCACCTACAAAGAGAGTGGGGAGTTGGGGGAATAGGAGCAGGCTAGAAACAAATGTAATGAAACATCACCTTTTAAGAAGGTTATAATTCATCAGTAACTGTTACTCGTCTTGAGTTGCATTTATGATTTATGGACCAACAAGTTCTCCGAGTTTCCTTACTCTACCACAAAAGATAGTATCAGTTTCACGTTGACCTGAGTTTGTAAAGTAATGCCTCGAGGTTCGCCAAGTAAGGATTCTCCAAGAAAGATCAAGAACATCATAGAAGACACCACAATGCTCTAGTTTAATCTACTATCTCTAGAGTGGTCTAGGAGCTTCTTGATTAAGCACAATGTGGTTGGGCCTAGAAGCTTTATTGATCTAGATACTTAGAGTGGTGAAACTTCCTGAAAGAGGGAGTGTCATGATCATTTTGTATCATGGGGGAAAGTAATAAACGAGAATTGGGGAAGACTAAAAAAGTGTTCCTTCAACCTTTTCATGTGTTCTTCATATCTAGTGTTACGATCAAATATTTTTTAGCACAACCAGATTGTTCATATCAATGCTGCAAGGATATCAAATAAGGATGCCACTGGTATGGAGAACCCAAAGAAGGATGTTCACCATGAGAGATCCAAAGATCTTCATGGAAACACGTTTGACATGACACATCACACAAGTTGGTCATGGTTCATGTACAAGAGTGACTTAACTTAACCTGCATGAGTGAGTGATTTGATGAAACGATGGACACAAAAGTGCAAGGACTACATGCCGAGCTAGCTGGTGTTGTTGGGACCACTAGCACATAATTGCCGTGTTTAAAGCAAGTTGCTTGAGAGCTTGGCATAACTTCAGGATCAAATTGACGAGATGAAGGTCGACCTTGAGGAAACTTGGTTGGCTTGGGCGATGTGCAAACCTGTGGTACTTGGCGGAGCAATGAATAACAAATTAGCTCAGGAAGCTCCAAGATAGATTGAAGCTTCATGATACTTTTAATGTATAGAACTTCTTGCATTTTGTGGAAGCTTTTAGATACTTCTACGGCATAGAACTTCACCATTGGTCACAATCAAAGATTCTGAAATGAAGCCCATGGAATTAACTTAATTGAAAATGCTTTAAGCAACATAACTCAATAAAAGTAATCGAAAGATGAAGAGTGGATCTTGGTTGAGATGAATATGGATATTGATGAGTTTCAAGACAGCAAAGATACAAACATGAATCAGATGAAAATTCAGAACAAAGTACAAAAATGAATTGCAAAAGTGACAACAATTAGAAATATGTGAAACCTCTTTCAAGCAATAAAAAGTCAAAAGCATGGCGGTTAGCAGCTATAGGAGGTGGTGTTGATGAAGATGCTGAACATCAAGAACCTAAACAACTGGAAAAAAGAGGGAAGGTAAAGGCTAAGTAAATATCCTTCTATACTAATGATGATGTGGATGATGAGTACGGAGACATAAAAAGAGAAGTTCCTCTGATGCCACTCGACAGTGGTACTATCCACAAAGTGTACAAATTGATGTGCAGGTTGTTGTTTTAAATCCCTAGACTACAAAAAAGAGGTCAAAGATTCTTGCACCTAAAAACTACAGAAAAATGTTGGTTTCATATGAAAAATGTTTATTACTCTATTATCTATATTGTAGTTTCCATAACAAATTTTAGAAGTCGGATACTCTATGTTATACTTCTACCCAAATATCCATGTTAAAGTAGTGCGCAAAATTTAACGAAGTCGAGTTTGTTGGGCCAACTTGTTAAACAGCTGCATACTTGATCAAGATCTCTGGTAGTTAGAAAGTACATTTTCAAATTTGGAGTACAGGTTAGTCATCTAGCTAGGATATATAAGGTTCCAATAGTAGGTAATAATCTGATCCTTATCGTTTGATATTAATGCTTCTATCATTTTCTTTTTGTCCATTTCAGTTCAGATTTTGATTTTGTTGGGTTGGAAATAAAGAGTGATCCAGTGTACAGTTACTGCTTTATGATTTGGGTATTCATGCTACATCTTGAAGTCCTTAATATTTTCACAAGTGTAGTAGTCCATTGTCGTCTAGACAATAGACTGTTCAAATGCTTGTTGGATTTGAGACTTTAGATTCAGATAGATCATATCTTGTAATCTTTAGAAGCTTCTTTTTATACTTTTTGTGCTCCTTAAATGATAATGAAACCATCCGGTCAAAACCAATCCAATAAAGAAACAAATCTATTCAACAAATCATTTCTGAAAAAAAAAATCATTACAAATTTGGAGGTTGAAAGGAAAGCTTTGGATTTAAAAGTTTTAGGATAAGTCGACTCATGATTCTGGTTTACTGTTACCTCATGTGACACCATTCTTTTAGTACAACCAAACTCTCCTCGCTGATGCATTCATAATTCATGTTTAATATCACCTAACCATTTCAAGTTGCGCTCCGTCATTTTACTTTAATTGGCGTCACCTTGAACATCCTCTGCATGTCCAATTTGTATTCCATCTTTGTATGCCTCATTAAAGGAAACCATGTCTTCTTCACATGCCAAAACCACAATTAAAACGGTACAAGATGAAACATCTAGTTGCAAGTTCTCCATAGTCTAGTTATATTTTGAAATACAGACGTTCAACTTAAGAAACCAAAAATTAACCTTAACCTATCGTAGGCAGGCAGAGATCAGTGAAGTTATTCATACTGGTTTATGCTTGGTTGCCTTTGTTTGTTTCTCCCCTCTAAGCATTTTTCTGTTGGTACATGGTAGTACATTTTCTTATTTAGCTACATTTCAATTTAGAAACTCACAGCTTCCTTGTTGATTGTTAGTGGGGTTTTTAGAAATGCATAATGGTCATGTAATTCATTCTCCTAGCTGCAGTTTCTTTTTCTTTTTCTTCTTTACCATCAGATTGTAGGTCAGATCCTAGACATCTTGGTGAGGATTATTGCCTGTGCTCCTTCATTCCTGTGCTTCTGCTATTTGAACAAAGTACAAGAGTGATGTTTTTAATTTGCAAAGTTTAGCTTATGTGCCATAGGCCATAGCTAAAACTGACCCTAATGCAATAATTTTGTTTGATGTGATTGATAATCAGTAGTATGCATTGCTGCAAATGCAAAGACTTGTTTGGATGTTTTTGATGCAATAAAGCATGCTGTAAGTAAAGTGCCATGGCACCATATGAACCTATGCTACAAGAAATTACCATTTAAGATGTGATCCATACAAGGATCATGTTGTGTTATCATTATTTGATATCTGAAAAATAATTTTGTCAATCATCAGTATCTGTTCTTCCTCTCTGTTCTTCAAAATACTCGACAAGATTAAAACATTTGTACTTCGAATTTTTGTTATGAAGAATTCTTACAGGCATGATAAAGTCATAGAGGGCCTTAATGTCACAGCTGAAATGTTGAATCCTGACTCAATCGCAAGGCAACTCAATGATCAAATATCACTTGCGAAGGCATTTGTTGTGATTGCAAAAGAAAGCAACAATCTCCAATTTGCATGGGAACTAAGTGCTCAGATTCGTAACTCCCAGATCCTTCTTTCAAATGCTGCCTTAAGGCGATCACCACTGACACTTCGAGAATCAGAGACTGCTGTTAGAGATATGGCTCTTTTACTCTTCCAAGCTCAACAGCTCCATTACGACAGTGCAACCATGATCATGAGACTCAAAGCCAGAATCCAGGATCTTGAAGAACAGATGAGTTCTGTAACAGATAAAAGTAACAAATACGGACAAATAGCTGCTGAAGAAGTCCCCAAAAGCCTATACTGTCTTGGTGTCCGTTTGACAACTGAATGGTTCAAACATCTGGATTTACAAAAAAAGGTCTCCAGAAACGTTCAAATCGGCATGAAACTGAAAGACAACAACCTGCATCATTTCTGTGTCTTCTCTGACAACATTCTTGCAACTTCAGTTGTGATAAACTCGACGGCCTTAAATTCCCTAAAGCCTGATAGGGTAGTTTTCCACCTGGTAACTGATGAAGTTAACTATGCTGCGATGAAGGCATGGTTTACCATGAACAATTTCCGAGGGGTGACTGTTGATGTCCAGAAGTTTGAAGATTTTAGCTGGTTAAATGCTTCTTATGTACCTGTTCTTAAACAGCTACAAGACTCAGACACCCAGAACTATTACTTTTCTGGAAACAACGATGGTGGTAAAACTCCAATCAAGTTCAGAAACCCCAAGTATCTTTCTATGTTGAACCATTTAAGGTTTTACATTCCGGAAGTTTTTCCTGCATTGAAGAAACTGGTGTTTCTTGACGATGATGTCGTGGTTCAAAAGGATCTCTCGGGTCTTTTCACTGTTGATCTGAATGGCAATGTCAATGGAGCTGTGGAAACATGTATGGAAACATTTCACAGATACCACAAGTACTTGAACTACTCTCACCCACTCATAAGATCCCATTTCGACCCTGATGCTTGTGGCTGGGCTTTCGGGATGAATGTTTTTGATTTGGTCGAGTGGAGAAAAAGGAACGTTACCGGCATTTACCATTATTGGCAAGAAAAGAATGTAGACAGAACGTTGTGGAAGCTGGGAACGCTGCCACCTGGACTTCTTACGTTTTATGGATTGACAGAGCCTTTAGATCCCCACTGGCATGTACTAGGTTTGGGATATACGAACGTCGATCCTCAGGTGATTGAAAATGGAGCCGTGCTACACTTTAACGGCAACTCGAAGCCTTGGTTGAAAATTGGAATAGAAAAGTACAAGGCTTTATGGGAGAAGTATGTTGACTACAGTCATCCAATGCTGGAAAGATGCAATTTTCACTAATTTGGATGAGGGATTTGTGATCCTTTTGTTGTGCAAAATGAACAGTAAGGGCTGTAAAGGTTCATGTCAAACTGGGTGTGTGCATGGATTCTGTTGTTGTCATAAAGGTTTACTAGATGGGGGCGGTGTAACAATTACTTTGTATACTGAATGGGTCAGTTTAATGTTATTTATTAGTGATTTATGAGACCACATCTTAACTTTGTATGCTTAATTCACATGTGAAGAAGGGCTAAATGGTTCTAGGGGATAAAAAGACTGGGAGGGAAGAGAACTGTTACAAGATGAAAACAATAAGAGATCTGTAATAAATGAAGTCGAGAGACGAAATCCATAGTTCCATGAAACCACAAGAACCATAATTGTAATTAGCGGATAAATCAATCATGTAATCGGTCTTTGACCACAATTCTCCAAAACTCGATCCTCCATCACCAATGGTCCCACTTGTATTTGGATCTTTTGCCAAAACGAGATATTTAGTTCGTATTCTTTGTTGAATAATGCTCGTCACCGTTCCATTGTTTGAAAGCTTCTTATTCATATACAATCTTTTGGAATAAACAGAAAAAGATGCAATGTCTATATGAATAAATGAAACATAGCAATTGATAGCAAACATGCCAACAATTTTTAGGTGGTAATTAATAGTGTCTAATGAACAAAAAGACTTGAACTAAGGTTACTAACTTAACCACTTCCATTTCTTTTTCAAGTAAAAACCAGTTTCATTTATGCACACTTAAAGTTGTTTGTAATCTATATGTTGAACTATATATATATATATATATATATATATATATATATATGCACACACACACAGAGATTAACATGTTTTTGTGAGATCAGTCAGACCACTTTTTTACGCTTGAAACTTCACTGTGAAGGTTCGGATCTTTTTACCTTCACAGTATTTTGCTGTGAAGTTTCAATTGTAAAAAAAATGGTCTCACGGGTTTTATGAAAACAACTTGGTCTCATGTGAACCCAACCCTATATACACATACATACTTATATGATAGGGTTTCAATGAGGACTCCCCCTTCCGGTAGGAACTTTGCGGCCCTCGATCTCTTTTGATCCAACGGTGATTAGAAAATAGGTTTATGTAAATGAGGGACAATTTCGTTATGTGGTTTTTTTGCATTTGAGTACAATCCGGTTTGTTAAGGTTCAAGATTTTTCAAATTAAGGCATATGAGGTATGTTCATGTATGTTAAGATTTGTAAATATTATAATAAAGTTCAATGTCATTCATCTTAATATATGTGACAAATGAAATTTCTTCAACATCCATGTCATTGAAGTTCCATTTAATTAATTCCATATTTATTTATTGATTTACATATTATATTTTAGAGTAAATTACATATTTATGTGGTTATATAGGAATTATGGATTGAATTTCCAAACAAAATAATTACGTCTATAGTCACTGTGGGTTTACTTCTGTTACGGTTTAGGTCCCTTATCATAATTTTATTATACAAAAATTATTTAAAAGAAAAAAAACTAAAAAAAAAACTAAAATATCCATGATCTAATTTTAATATAAACTATATAATTTTATTTTTATACTATATAAATGAAATAAAAATGTAAAAAAAAAAACAGAAAATCCCTTGATTTAACGAAGTAATTGTTAGTAAAGTTATATCAAGGAATTTAATCCGTAACAAAAACAAAACCATAATAACCATCAATTTAATTATTTGGTTTGACGGACTTACTTTAAAATTTCTATACATAGACGAAATCTGTAATTTACTCAATGTTTTAATGAATAATAATTTTCCAACCACTTGGCATATAGTTGATATTTGATTTTCTTTTAAGTTATTAAGCTCTTGCAATTGTATTGATTTGGCTTTAAGCTTCAAAGTTTAGTTTCTAATTAAGTGTTTGGTTCGCTTTTTAATTGTAATTAAAAGCATAAAATTATATAAAAAAAAATTAATATTCCTTCATAAATATATTTCTAGAATGTTTTCTTTTATCTATCTATACTATATTATAAAGTATTTGACAAAAAAAATAAAAACTATTTTTTATGCATGAAGTACTGTTTATTGATGCATATTTAAAATTCAATATTACAAATAATTTTACGTAATTAAAACTTATTAAAATTTCATTTTTTAATTCGTGTAACTAACTACAGATTATATATTTAAGTTTATATTTTATTCAAACATAAAAATATTATTACTTTTTTAAAATAATATAAAACTATATTATTAAATAACAAATATAAAAAATAAAATAAAATATTAAAATTGAAATGTATTAGATTTTCTATTAGGTGCGTACATTTATATTCTTCTTAAAAGGAATTTTAAGATGTTGAGACCACGGGCAAATCCGATTGTGACTTACGTTAGCAATATATACACGTGGCAGATCCTGATTGTGTGATTTTTAGCACCGAGAGATGCCGGCTTCTCAAAATTTCAAAATTATCTACTATATATTTTGACCCTCTATTCACATTCAAATCATGCAAAACTCCACTGATACCCTCCCTCTGAGAATAATTTCAATGGCTAACAAGGACAATCTAGTAAATTCACTATCCCGCCGGCGCAGTATCCGTTTTGCAGGCACTTTTTGAGCGGACGTTTGTTTTTCTTCGCAACTTTCTCGCAAATAAACCATATCTACAAGCTCAAATTCTCTGCTCTCGGTCCACCATGATCTCCGATCAAACTCGCCGGCAAAAATCTCGAGAAGTGAGTTCCCGATACCTCTCACCCATCGTAGCACCACCATCGCCGCCACTAGCACCGAACTCGAAACCATCGTCATCCACCAAACAGAAACACAAACACACTGGATTTATTCGGGGGCTTTGGCCTTCTTCCTCTACTCACTCATCAAAATCCCAAAAAGAAAATCCACCAACCACCACCGGCGCCGCCACTCTTGCTGATCACCTTGGTAGTGAAAGACGGAAAGATGGAGTCAAAAGATCCGGAAACTCGCCGCTTCTTAGTAAACAAAAAAGCTGCACGGAGTTCAGACGGTCGGAACACAATTCCAATACAAAAAGCATCTTGAAAGAGTACCACTATCACACCCCTATTCACGGTGGAAAACTGATGTTTTCTGGAAGATCGTCCATTTCATCTTCCACATCGTCTTCCTCCACAAGATCAGCAGAAGTTTTTGATTCGAACCAAGTTATACTTCCTGGGAGATTATCAGTAGACGAAAACGCTCTTCGTCGGAGATCATCATATTATGAGATGAGATCAGATACCCTCTCCGATAATTCAGAAAGCAGTGATCTTGGTTCTCCGTTTGCGACGATTAGAAACTCCCCGTCTCCGGCATCATATATGGCTCCAACAATGAGTTCTAGAAAGTCTCGAGTAATTGAAGTTCCATCCATGCATAATTCTCCAAATAAATCTACACTCAAAACCGCCATGAAAAGGGCAAATTCGTTATCTTCTTCATCAGAATGGGAGTCTTCCCCATCAAGATTCGGATCACCATCGTTTTCAAGCTCCAAGCCTCCTAGTTCTACTAAGAAGAATCTTCTCCATATGGGTTTGGATTTAATTAAGGGTAAGAAAGGAGGATCAAGGTTGGGTTTGGATACCCGAAAATATATGATTGAAAGCGTTCATCAGCTCAGATTGCTGCAGAATAGCTGGATGCAATGGAGGTACGTGAATGCTAGAGCACAAGCTGTTCATCAGAACTTAGCTGCTGAATGTGAGGTCTGTATGCTGGTTTTTCATTTTGAGCACTTTAACTCAAACTTGTTTCAAATAAAGAACCTTCGCCTCATATTGCAGAACAAGTTGTCATGCACAAGAGAAAGTATGACACGGTTGCGACAATCTGTGGTACAAAAGAGGCTGCAACTACAAAAAGAGAAACTAGACATGAAACTCAACTTGATCCTACATTCTCAAGTGAGTTAACTTTTCACTCATTATATTATAGAATACGAAGAAACTACGCACATGTTTAATCCGCACGCGAGACTATTATTCAAGATTGTAATTCTTTTGTGTAGACCAAAATGTTAGAGGCATGGGAAAAGATCGAAACGAGACACAGCGTGGATGTTTCCATAATGAAAGATTATTTGCATACCGTTGTTTGTATGATACCCCTTATCGAAGGAGCCAAGGTTTTGACTTTGAAACCAAATTTAAACACTTTAAAATCTAAAAAAGAAAAGCTAGTCATATGTATGTATGTATATAGGTGGATCTTGAATCAACTTCAATGGCGTTCCAACATACATCACATATGGTTGCTACAATCAAGTCTATGTTATCATCGATTTCACCCAAGGTAAGGGTTGTACATATAGATACTACTTTTTGTGCACAGTTAACTTGAGTGCTATCTCATTGACGTTGTTGCGAATGACTTGAAATAGGCTCACGAAACCATCTCGACACTTTCGGAGCTAGCTGAGGTTGTAGCACGAGAGAAGTTGTTGTTAGAAGAATGTTTTGAGCATTTAAGAGTCATTTCGACATTAGAGGTAAAAGTTTGAGTCAAATTTTGTCTTCTTAAAATGTTTATTTGATCATCACATGCATCTTATGTTTTGATCATCCTTTTTGTTTGTCTGATGTGATCAAACAGATCCAAGAGAGGAATCTAAGGTGTAGCATTATTGCAATGGATTCACTGAATCAGCAGCAGCAACAACAACAAATGTAGTGATCTTGATAAACTAAATTAGAGTTTGTATTTGACAACTTTAAAACAATGTGTTTGAGTATCAAATTAGTGTATTATATAATCAGTTTTAAAAAATAATGAAATTAATGGGTGTTTGGTAAGAGTTATTAGGCAATAATTAATATGAATGAAAATAAAAGAAACTGTTTGATTTTATATAATATAATGGACCCATTCTTTTACAAGCCTAAATTTTGATTCCATATTAAACTGGAGGAATGAAAATTCATTTTCATTTCCATTTATTTGATTGAACCAAATACCTGTTTAAGTTATTTAAAAAAAAAATATGTTAATGTAAATTAAAGAGGTGGTTGATGTTGTGGTGCATGTGTATATGAATTAATGTGTAGGTAGTGCTACCCATGTTTGTCTATTGATGATCCTTTGTTAGCATAAAATCAAGAACATGCTTCCTAGTTACTACAAAGTTCCAAAAAAATTATTTATCATATATAATTATTATCTTATAATCTATAAATTGTAACATTTCCATCTGAAATTGGAATATGTGACATTAAGATATAAAAATATGGTAAGAAATATATTGGTATAAATGTTTAACATTTTAATTATTACTAATATTTGATTAAATTTAAATGATAACAATATATATATATATATATATATATTCAGTATAATTGTAAAATACAAATATTTGATTAATAATGAATGTAATTAATAGAAAGTAACTAAAGAAAATGCAAAAAACCTAGCCTTTGACTTTCTTTTTATAATTTAGTTAGTCAAAGTTAATGGGTCTCCATCATTGCAACATATATGCCAACATTTGTTGGTCCTTTTCTTCTTCCAGCATTTTATGCTTAAAATCTATAAGTTGAACCTAAAATCTCACCTCCTAAATTCTTTTTCTAAACAACATGAATGATTTGTTTTCCAATTCCTTTAAGCAATATCAAGACTTAAAGAGACAAGCATACGTTGATGATATGGAGGCTGGTGGTGGTGTCATAAATGAAACAGTTGATCTTGACAAGTTCTTCCTAGACGTTGAAAACGTGAAGAAAGACATGATGGTTGTCGAGGAGCTCTACAAGAAGCTACAAGAGTCGAATGAAGAGAGCAAGATGGTCCAAAATGCCAATAAGATGAAGCAGCTCAGGTCCAAGATGGATTTGGATTTTACACAAGTGTTGAAGCATGTGAAGGTCATTAACGGGAAGCTAGAGGCCCTCGACAAGTCTAATGTTGAAAATCGAAAGATCCCAGGTTGTGGTCCTGGCTCATCAGCTGATCGGACCCGCATATTGGTTGTTAGCGGTTTGGGTAAGAAGCTCAAGATCATGATGGACGAATTCCAAGAGTTGCGGACCCTCATAAATGATGAGTACAAGAAGACTGTCGGGCGAAGATACTTTACCATCACCGGTGAACAAGCCAGCGACGAAGTAATTGATAATTTAATATCAACGGGAAAAGGTGAAGAATTTCTACAAAAAGCAATCCAAGATCAGGGTCGAGGCCAAATCATGGACACAATCTCAGAAATTCAAGAAAGGCATAATGCTATTATAGAAATAGAGAAGAATCTGATTGAACTACCCCAGATTTTCTTAGACATGGCCGTGTTAGTAGAGGCCCAAGGACAACAGTTGAACGACATTGAGAGTCACGTAGCCCATGCAAGTTCATTTGTCCGACTTGGGACCGTACAACTAATAGAAGCAAAGGAGTTCCAAAAGAGCTCAAGAAAATATACTTGCATCGCAATCAACATTTTCCTTATTATTATCTTCATTGCGATTTGCTCCATTAAGTTATTGACAAACTTACATTTCTGATAAGATTCCAAGGTTTTGATTCAAAATTTTGTTTATTTTATTTTCAATTGTTCTTTATTTTTTTCTGAATTTTTTTTCCTGAAAAATGAATGATAATGTTTTATTTGTCAAAAAATTGTTTTTTGTTTATGTTTAAAAAAAGTACGTGTGTTAAAAAAAGTAGGTTCCGGAGATTCATTAATAGGGGATTTAAGAGTGTGCAGAACCCTCAAAATACAATTTTAATTGATATGGAGGTTACAACATATATAGAAGAGAAATGAACCAATTCTAATTGATATGAGACTTTGTCACACCCTTCCAATGAAGTACAATTTATCCCAGAGTGTCAAGTCTCTATAGTGATGGTCATTGCTCTGATACCATAAGAGAATATATGAAACTCCTAGATTTACATTCCAAAAGGAGCTGCTAAAGGGAGGTTCCAACATATATAAACGAGCAACAACGGATCTAGGATTTTTGCCTAGTGAGGACATCTTTAATTTTTTTTTTTTATTTCGAGAGATCTTTAAGTTTTATTGTCAATTTCGAAGGACTTTTTCGGTTTTTGTTGTAGATTTTGAGATACTTTTTTGGTTGATTTCAAGGTAATTCTTTTGTTGGTGGGAGCATAGACCAAAAATTACTAGGGGATTGTGGTTGGAAGTTAAAATAAAACTTATTTTTAATCTAAGTAACGAAAATTCTTTTTTCTAATGGGGGCCCATCCCGCCACCATCTATATTCTACATCCGCCCCTTGTAAACGAGATCTAGTCAACGTTTACTCAATGTTGGACTGTAACAAAGACACGTATGGGGTTGGTAAGGTTTGGATCATGGTTGTACGTCTTTGGTTTGTTATCCTACCTTCTTTATGAGAACTAAGGCTATGTTTTAACAAATTAGCTGATGAATGATAAACAAATTGTTAGTTGATAAATAAATAAATTATGTTTGACAAAAACTGGCTTATAAACATTAAAATGACAAAATATGGCATATTGAAAAAACAATCAATTATAAATATTTCATAATAAAATTCTAAATAATATAATTAAAAAGAACAAGATAGTAATGAAAAATTAATCAATATAATATGTTAATGGAAATAATTTAAAATTGATTATTATAAGTACTATCTTAAAACTAATTTTAGAAAAAATCTATATTACAATTAATCAATAATTTTTAGTTAATTTTAATTACTATAAACTCATACTTGAATAATTAATATTTATATTAATAACTAATATTTATTAATAATTAATAATAATTAACGATTAATATTGATCAGGATTATAATTGGAAAAAATGTCAAAAACCTTCTCATAAATAACTTATCAATAAGTTAGCTTATGTTTATCCAAATAATTATGCAAAAAATAAACTAACTTATAAGCTAGTTTATGTTACAAAAGAGTAACTAATTAAATTGATTTGGCCTTCATTTCTATTGTATAAAGTTGACTTTTTATGATATGGTAAAATAAATCAAAACTAACGGAAGTTTACTTTTAATTTTCAAAACTAACTCCAATACAAGGTAAACCAAGAACTTTTTACATTTCGAAAAGCTTGTGAATGGGTTTTTAGTGAAAGGCTCATAAATACTCCACCCATAGGATTTTGTAATAGTATTTGCTAAATATAGGAATCGAACTTGTACCCAAACACGATTCAAAATCAAGCAGGTATATATGAACTTATTCTATAAACAAGTGTACTGAAAAATGGCTCCAAAAGTGTTTTTGTTAAAAAAAAACGATGTGACAAAATTAGCAAGTCTTCAAATAAGTCGACCACTGTAGATTTTGTTGAAGAAAAAAAAAATACATAGTTATTTTAATGTTGCGTTTTTGAATCTGGGGAGAAAAGAAAAAAGAAGAAATGGAAGGAAAATAAATTTTTTATTTGTATTCTCGAAATAGAAGAAAAAAGAAGAAAAGGAAAAACGAAAAGATTTTCCATGTTGAGAGAAATGAAATATACCATTTAAAAATATATAGTTTTGTAATTTTAATAATTAAAAAATCATAATTTATTTCCTTTCTTTCCCTTTTCTCCTACATTTGGGAGGAAAGTTATCATTATTTTCTTTTCCTTTCCTTTTCTTCTAAAAAGTTTCAAGAATACGAATGTTTTACTTTTTTTTTTCCTTCACAAAAAAGGTTACGAGAACACAACATAAATGAAAATTAAGACAAATTTTATTGTATTTTGATACCTTTTATTTTAGTTGTCATCACCTAAAACATTGAAGTTAAAATTTTCTCGGTTATCAATCAAAATAAGTACGAAATATAAATATTCAAAAGTTTGTTAAAATATTTGAGAAAAATATCATTACATTTAATAAAAATTTATGGTACTAATTTTGAATGTGAATTGCATACAAACATCAACGTTCATATGTTGACGCTAATATATATATTTTTTTTGTCATAATTCCTTTGCAGTCCAGTCCTGGATGATGGAGTCAAAAGATGAGCCATGCCAAGTCTCGTGCTGTTGTTGTGCAAGGCTTGGATCACTACTAGACAATTTGTTATGCTTTTCAGATGACCCAACATAACATCACCATTCTACCTATGACCTCGAGAATAAAAGCCCATGACATTATTAGGGAATCGTGCTGAATAAAAAGTTCCCATTTTGTTAAAAAAAATATGTTGAAGCTCCAAAACAAGGATCTTTTTCATCAAGTCTGCATGTATAAGGGTTCTTTAGTAACAGGTAAGAAAGTACAGGGTGTTATTTGTAAGTTATGATACAGGGAAGTATACAAATACGACGACGTTAACTGTCGTCTAGGCATCCGCATCTTCTTGTCGCAGCCACGCTCGCCTCCTCCCCCAAAATCTTTGTGCACAGGCCGATCCATCCAAAAAGAAAGGTTCAGACCTGCAAAAATGGCATCAACTTTGGCAGCCCGTCAAGCTGCAAATCTACTCCGTCTCTCCTCTTCTAGATCGGCTGCCCAAGCTGCCTCGCTTATCCAGCGCCGTGGCCTCTCCGGCGCCGCCGGTATAATACGTCACACATAACTCTTTATCTGTCAAACAATTATCATCCGCTCGTTGTGCGTATTGTTATCTGAAAACCCAAAAGCCACGTTCGAGTGGGTGAAAATTTTCCCGACTGCGAGTTGATGCTCGATGGGATTTAAGTTCAGAACTTTAGATTGTTTTGAGAAGTCTAAACCGCAATACCGGTCATTAGATATAGATATGTGTATTTTTTGTGCAACACGTATTTGTTTGTGAAATGAGACTCAAGTGTTGATGTGAGTTATTGTGTTATCTGCAGATCATCATGGACCTGCAAAGGTTGACTTCTGGAAAGACCCGATGAGTCCATCTAAGTGGAAGGAAGAGCACGTGAGTCTCCTATTTTGATTTGAATTTGATTTATTGTGTTAATTTGAACTTTTGAGTAATTGAAGGGTTTAGGGTTTTCACATCATCTCAATTTTCTTGTAGAATGATTTATTTTGGTAGGATTATTTATATGTTTATATTTTGTGTTATAATTTCCTTCTTGCTAGTGTTAAACCTCTGTGATTGTTGTGACTACGGAATTTTCAGATTAATAAATGCTCTTTCTTTATTCTGAAAGAAGAGATGCACAAAGAATTTTGAGTCTGAGTTAGTTGATCAAAATTTGAGAGTGATATGTATTCTTTTTAGAATCCACAACAAGTAATAGCATAATGTTGGTGTCTTATGTGCACAGAATCCATTTGAAAAGTAATGGTCTAGTCGGGAAAGTAAAAAATGTATCCTCTTTTTTATTTTTTTTGAACCAGAGGGTGCAGATGCTACTACTCTTTTGAGTGAAGAGTTGATTCAAGACAAGTATATTAAGCAACACAAATTCCCCTGAGGATTTTAATGCCTGCTATATTGAACAACCATAGGCTAATGCAGTTAACTGGTTAGTTTACCTTTGGGGTGATATATTGTTTATGGCAATGAGCTTTCTAGAGGTAGCAAACTATTGAACTACTACCTGTTTTTTGGTTCTAGTAGTGATATAGCTCAAAGTGGGTTCCTTCATATTAAAAGTTCAATCCTAGGTCAATTTTAAAGTGTGAATGGATTGACATCACTTTGGTTTCAGGGCTGTATGCCTTTGCAAATTGGGAAGGTAAGCTTGATGGATAATGCAACAGCAAATTGAGCTGATGTTGGAAGCTCAGAGATTGCCTCACTTCCTCTTTGATATCTTTCATTGAATGTACAATTAACCAATCACGAGGAGAAAAAGAGTGAAACCTGGGGGGGGGGAGTAGGAGACTGTTCCTTGTGGAAGAATTGTTGGATATTTAGAAAAAAGATAGGTCGATCTCCACTAATCCATTTACTTACCTAGAATTACTATTGTTGTTATTAATATCTTAAAATTCTGGAACAGTTCCATATCTCTACAATCATCTTTTTACAATGTGAGCCTTTAAGTTGCAAAGATCTTTCTGGAAATATTTTACCCTTCAGTTTGCTGAAATGGACTGTTGCAAGTTGTTTAGTGATGATGAATAGTCAAGATTGGATATTTCAAAAGAATTTTGCTTGCCTTTATGTCTACGTTTTAGCAAATGGCAGCATATATACTACAACACCGTTCCTCAGTGAGTTATGGGAAACCAGCTATATACTACAATGTTGGTCCTTGTAATTTACAACTTTTTACCTCTTTATATATGTTTGAAAAAATCAGGAGAATGTTTTTCATGCTATTGTACTGATTATATGAACTTTTCTCTTTGCAGTTTGTTATTATCTCTTTATCTGGTTGGGGATTGCTGATCTATAGTGGATACAAGATGTTCTCTGGAGGCAAGAAGGATGAGGTATCTTTCAATTGCTCAGAGTTCATTAGTCCTTCTTTTTGCTTCTATTCAGCTCATATTTAATAGCCTAATGTGCTAGTAACTCAGTCTCTAATAACTTGTCTGCATGGTTAGTTTTTTTGTCTTCCCAGTTATTAGCTTTCACTTAACTTTCCACTGAAAGAAAATTGATTCTATAAGCATCAACTTTTTCATAATTTTACATTAGTTGGTCTATATATTTATGCTTTAGTTCATGTCTCTGTCCAGGTGGTATTGTAGTTCTTCTAAGAATTAGGAAAGGTTATGTTTTTGTTTTTCTTGCAATGTAGTTTCTGCATCTTCAAATGGCAGTTATTCACAGTCATACAGTTTCCTTAGGAGTTATGCAAAGTTAACTCTTTATTTGATCTTAAGAATCAGTCTAGATTTTTTTATGTAAATTTCACAAACATAAGCATTTGATGGAATCTACTCAATTATTCAATCCAAAGGTCATGCTTTACATAATTCCTCTTGTTGGAATTTCGTTTGCTTAATGAGTCTCTACTCTCTATCATAGTGGCTAATTCCATATGTCCAATCATTGCACCAGTGTGCATTGAAATAAAATGAACCCTGCAAAAGAGGAACTGAGAGCAATGAAGCTAGTGAGGATCCATAATGTAGTCGAATTATTGTCATGCCAGGGAAAGATGTTGCAGGTGTTGCCTGTATAGACAAAAATAATTTGAGCTCATCATGAACCAGAAATGAATTAAAAATGGAGATCAGGTGATAAGGTCATTTCTGTCTTCAGCTATTAGATGATAGTATAGTAATATTGGTTTGCATTAATTGTTCAGTAAGTGAAGTCACTACTTGATCACTAGTATTAACTAGGTAGGAAAAGATGGCAGAAACTGCCCCACAAATTTGTCCCGAATTCAAGACCACTATTTAATGATTATAGCACTATAAAACGGGGTGGTGTTATTCCTGTTTACTCGTGTTCATTAGTTCACCCTTATTAGCATGACATGTCAATGCTGCCTGCTATCTATTTGTGCGTTTCAAGTGTGTAAATAATTGCTATAATATTAACCATATTGTGAAAGCAAAATGTAAAATTAGCAGATTGCATTCTAGCCATTAGCTGTTGTTTTCTTTTGAACTGAATGGAGAAGGCTACGTCACCTATTATATATATATATATATATATATATTCTCCAATCTCCTTTTGCCATAATGCATGGGGAAGAGCTATCAATTAGTTGTTTAGACAGTTGATGCACATCTTGGTGCAGCGTGACACCAAAATGTCAAACAACACATGAAAGAACTATTGATTCATTAACCAACCAGCTTTTGTGAGTCTGGTACTCTCCCTCAAGACAACATTCACAAAGAGATCGGGTGATCTACAACTTGACGTTTCTCCCCTTTTATACCAACACATCATTGCCATTCAACTAACTCCCCGTGACTGATTGCTACCGTTTGGTACTGACTTTACCAACTACTGTCACTGTTTACTTAAAACACCCTTATTTCTTTTATCTCTATTCCCTCTGGTGTATGTAAACCTCACTGCATGTTTATCTATGAATGACAATGGGAAGAGAATCATGAACTAGAATTGCAGTATTTGGTTGCCAAAAACAGAAGTTACAGCTTTCTGAGATATTCAATTATTAAAGCATAAAGTTATGTGATTTGAAGGGGAGTGTCAAACCAGCTAAAAATTACTCTCATATCTTCAAAGAGCCTAGAATTTAAGCATTAAAAGTTGAAGAGCAGTGGCAGCAACCGAGACCTTGGTTAGACCACCAAGAATCCTGTTAATTGATGGATGAATTCAATGCTTAAGATAACATCTGGTGAAACATTGCAGCAATAGAAGGTTTGAACAACAAAAGCTTTACCCCCTCCTAGTTATGTTTCTTAATCTACGCCCTTGCATTGCTATTGTTATAAAAAGATAACGATACTTCTTTTGTAAAAGCTGGCTTATAAGCAACTAAATTGATTCACTACTAGAAAGCGGGGATAAACCTGTGGGGATGAACGTAATGAGGCAATTGGTGCACATATCCCCACGAAATCTTCATTGTTAGTTCTGTATGGACTCTTATTTTGCACTGCTGACTCTCTTGTTTGTGTTTGTGTGACAGAAATTGGTGGAAGCAGCGAACTAAGAGGTTGAAATTTGTGCCAGAAACTTTCTGCTAATAATTTGTTTACGTGGATGCAAGATTTCCTGGTATTCACCTTTCTTTATTTGGGGACAGTTTGGGTTCCTCAGCAATTTGATATGTTTTTCAGTTTCTAATTGCATATTTTTGCAGACTTGAGCCATTCTCATTGTCATAAATATATCGCATATTTGAATAACAAGCATCCTTTTGGTTCGGTATTTCTTCTTGTTATGCTCAAGAATCTCGATTTAAGTTGGTAGAATTGATAAATTAGTTCTGAACAGGGTCTAATGTTGGATCGCATTCAAGTTCAACACTCATCATGTTTGAAATGAGACAAGACAATTTAGGAATTGGGAACACCATCTGAAATATGATGAATCATCAGTCTTCTGTTTCTTCCTTGTAATCTTGATCTGCATCTGAGGCATTGCTGGAAGCATTTGTATCTGCTTCCGTCTCTCCTTCATCTTCATCATCCATCCTGTCAGCTTTGCTCTTTATTTCTTCACCGGTGGCCGTCTTTCCTGAACTCCCATTACCAACTTCATGAGTTGAATAGTTATTAGATTTGAATAGTGTTGGACCCTCTTCCCAGTTTGGTGTCACTTGACTTTTGTCAGCATGACCATCATTAGTCTTATCTCTTTGACCTTTGCTTACTTCTCCTACAAAGGATCTTTTTTTCATGTTCAAACCATCCCCATTTTCTTTAAAACCCCCTGTGGCTAATCTACCATTGGTTTCAGTGGTATTATGGATCTTTGCATCCAGAATCTCAGTTGCAAGTTTTGCCAACTCTCCATCATCTCTAGGCTTTTGTATGTCAACACCAGTATGTGGATGTTTTCCATTGGTTGATTCTTGGTCTTTAGTGGCAGTTTGGTTGTGGGTTAGGTTGGGTTGAGGATTTGAGCAGTGAGTTTGGATCAAATTCTTGATTTTGGATTGTTTGAGGTGGATCTGGTTGTGCAGGTCATGAATGGTGGACTCGAGGGCTCGTTGTTCATCTCTCATTGACGTAATAGTGGATCGCATCTCCAATATGTTGTTATTGAGTTGAGTCTTGTCTGTTCGAAGGGAGAATAGTTTTGCATTCAAATCTTGATTCTTCCTCTTGGTTTCTTTTGCATATTGCCTTTCCTTCTATACATACATAACATATACTACATAAGCTCTATTATATACTGACTCAAACTCGATAGCCATTTTCCAAGCTCGAACTCAGACTCGACTCATTAACCGAGTCGATCTCGAGTAATTCGCGAGTTTTCTTGTCTCGTTTACACCCGTAGTTGGTATTCAACTTGTTTTGGGAAATTATTCTTTAAAAAAAAGAGTTAGAAAAAGGGGAGTTACAACTTACTTGCAAGAGGAGGTGTAGAGAGAGAATTTGGCGATCTTTATCTTTGATGACAAGGTTAAACAGGCGCCGGTCCCTCACCTTCTGAACCACCATCACCCCCATTACTGCCACCAATATCACCACCGCGACCATCGCCATTTTCTTCTTCTTCTTCATCAGCCACCCACCACCACCAAGGCCGCCGCAATTGCTCTGTGGGTGCCCCTTCATCCCCATTTCTCTGGCTGTAGTCTGAGTGGTGATGGATTCCATAAGGAGGTTAAAAAGGGGAGGGGAGGTGCATGGGAATTGTGCCCCAACTAAAGTGCTCAATTCACTCTGCTTGGGGTTTTTTTATATTTAATTTTTATTTTATAAATAAGATAATATTATGAATTTGAAAGAAGGGTTTTGAATAGGAAACACGGTTCAGTTTTGCATGTCATCCAATTGGTTCTCATTTGTAACGCTCACTTTTCCTTTTTTTTTTTTTTTCAAATATAATTATTATTCCATATTAATTAGGGAACAATTTCTAAACGCTAATAATTATCTAAAAAAAGAGTAGTATTAAACAATCTAAAAGAAGTATTCATTTATAGAAATGTAATTTTTTTTAATTTTAATTTCCTTATTTGTTGATTGAAAATTATGATGAGATATTAATAAAACCGATCACAGTTGATAAAAAAAAATGGTTTTATTATATGGGGGTTGATAAGGTATTTGATGATAAATTATAAATATGGCAAAACAAAAAATGTATTGTGCTGTTGCTTCTGTTCTGAATCTTTTGGGCTAGTTCCAGTTTCCGTCAATCTAATTTTATATATAATCGGAGGATTGATTATTTATTAAAATATATTGTAATATTGAACAAATAAAATTTAAAATTGGAAAAGGAAAAGGAAAAATCCTCAAAACAAATTATGTTCGGTTTCAATAATTAGATTATATATATTCTTAAGATGGTTAATACACATAAAATGTGAATAAACCTGCAGTACTGTTTCGTCTATTTTCATTCCGGAGCATATATGCATCCAATAATGTATCACAACAAATAATCATGTTATAAAAATATACATATTATTTTATGTATCATTAAAAAAGAATTATTACAGGAAGAAAAATGGAGTTTTAAAGGCTCAAGATACCTCGGTCAACATCAAGTCAATTATAAATACTACATGGGATGGGATTGGGAGTCTGAATCAAATCATGTTATATAAATGAATATTGTATTTTCTCTCTAAATAATGGGATCAACTCGTCTTAAATTACAATTTTTGTCATGTATAATTCATTTGCAAATAAATTTAGATTTCATATTTCTACAATTCTTTTATTACATCAAGTTTCTCTGTTAAGTGAAGCCTAACAACTTTCTTTCATACATCATAAATCATACATCATGATTCATGTACTTGAGAAAACATGCAACCACCAACCAGTAAAAAAATAAATTAAAGAATATTGATAATAGGGTTGAAGGTGTATATAACAATTAACAATACTTACAATCAACAACAATATATTCCTCTGATTACACAAGTAACAACAAAACAAATGAAGGAAAGATTCAGAGGCCAGCAGAGACCAGTCCATGCAGTGTCACAATACCTATCACCATATTCTGTTCATCCATGACCGGCAAGAACTGAACAGGGGATGGTGGAGCCTCCATCTTCTGCATTGCTTCTACCGCCATCCTATCCGCTCCTATGCTCCTCGGATTCCTAAAACACAATCCCATTCCCATACATGGTTGATCAGTCCCGGTTGTTGTTTCTTTATTTTGATTTGTGAGTCTCAACTGCAATAGGACCTTAAAAACAAAGAACTTTGATGAGAATGTTACCTGTTGCACATCTGACCGACGGTAAGTTTGAAGATCCCCTCTTTGCTAGCTTTGAGTGTTCGCCGGAGATCACCATCAGTGAATGTACCTATGAGGTGGTAATCATCATCAACCACCAGAAGGCAACCACACCCTTTACTAGTTAGCTCAACTAGTTGATCCATTATCAGATCTCCTTCCTTGCATAATGGAAGTTCCCCTTGCTTCTTCATCACGTCCTTCACCTGCAACATACAATCAAATCCACCCTTGTAAAAAAGATCCCATACATTCTAACTGAAACTTATCAATATACACTTCAATGAATATCACATTGTTTTTAACCAACAATTGCTTTAAACGAACTTCAGTAAGCATGTTTAGCTACTAGTTAGATGTTAAGATACCTGTCCAATAACAATGGAACAGTAAAAAGAAAATCTTAACCAAAACTAAACCATCAGAGTTTGTAATAATGACAGATTGACAAAGATATCATTGGAAATGTTAAACAAAGCTTAATCCTTAGGCAGATAAACTGAGAAAAGCTTTTGACACCACAACACGATTAGCTTCTCTTATCAATCAGTGCAACACTCATCTCCATTGCCATCACTTCCAGAGAGACAATTGGCTTCAGGAATAATAAATTAGTTTTGTCTTCGCTTCAAATCAACTAATTTTCAAGTCCCAAATTGCTACAGTTCATTTAACTTTTTCAGTATTTTTTTTCTACAGCAGCAAAATTCAAGAGAAGACCAACAATAGAACAATGATGGGTCTCAAATTTGTGCCAGATCAAAGATGACTTTTAAATTAAACAAGTACTAGAATTGACCTAAGATTCAGCTGTAAAGTTCCATAATCAAGAACCCTATTCAAGCTCAAAGTTTCCATCAGAGAACCATAAACATTAATCAGTAAATAAATAACAGAGAAAAAGAAACCCCAATGGGGGATTCTAACCTTAAAGATCAAACTCTTTCCAATCCGGCCAGCAGGATGATTTGCCGCATAGCCTTCTTTTGTCAAATTCTTCGCATCCATCAGTGCAATCGCAACCGTGCACCCAAAAACCATCTGAATTGCTGTCGATGTGGTTGGAGCCAAATCAAAAGGGCATAACTCCCTCTCCAAAGGCAAATGCACATTCAAATCACACAACCCCATCAAGGCATTCCCCTCCACTGATGTCACCGATATCAAGAATGCCCCTTTTGCCCTCGCACATGGAACCAACTTTACCAATTCCTCCGTATTCCCACTCTTGCTAAACATAACCAATACATCTTTGTCGGTTAAAATGCCAATATCTCCATGCAGAGCGTCGACAGGGGACAAGAATTGGGATTTGATGCCAAGAGACACGAGGGTCTGTGAGATGTTTTTGGAGACAAAGCCGGATTTTCCGACACCAGTGATGAAGATGGTACCGGTTGAGTCTAAAAGAGTTTGTGTGAATACATGGGTTTGGGAATGGTCTAGCTTATCGAAGAAAGTGTTGAGGTATTTCTGTTGGGATTTGAAGAGGTTTTTCAGTTTGATAGGATCAACGAGTTGGGTTGGTTTTTGAGATGATGGATCTGCTAATAAATGTGGAAGAGACCCCATTTTTAATCAAATTTCCTCTTTCCTGAATCAAATTCAAATTATACATTGTTTAACCAATAATACAAATAAACAGATAGTTTAACCAAATTCTAAATAAGTAAGGCAAATGAAGTTATCAACAGATTGATATTCCCGATTCCCAAATAAGCAAATAAACACACTGTTCAACCAAATCCAATGGTGGTGTTTGATATACTAAAACCATCATCAAACTTCCCAATCTATGTAGTCCTTCATATTTCACAATATCACTGTTTAAAACTGGCTTTGCATATACGTACAGAATAGTCTAAGATGAAGCAAAAGGTGTGATCAAATACCAAAATTCCAACAGAATTATACTAAACAAGTAGACAGATTTAGCATGTCTATACTAAATTCCAGATTTGTAGTAAACAGATTGATCTACTAACTACTAACCATAATCAATAATCAATAAATTGATGATTAATAAAACAAATAAGAAATCAATAACAAAGCTAGAGATTTAGGGAAAACAGTGAAATACATAACAAATGAGAGAAATAACAATCAATAATCAAGTTAGGGACTTAGGGCAAACAATGTAAGAAATAAGAACCAATAATCAAGTTAAAAGAAAATGTACCGTTTACGATTTGAGACTTGAGTAGGGTTTGGATTGGCAACCCGATTTGGCGATTCGGAAGACTTGCCGGAGTCAGAGAGAGCCGATAGAGCCGGAGTCGGAGAGAGGCGGAGGCTTGAATCCGACGATTTTGAGTTGGGATCCCGATTTTTTTAGTTTTGGTTCAGTGGCTGAATTAGGCGATCTGGGAGAGGGAACCAGATGTGCTTTTTTATCTTAAGCCTTTTTACTTTTAAAAATTTCAGAGCATAATTTTTAGTTTGATTGGATGAATGAGTTGGGTTAATCTTTTTGATGATGGATCTGCTAATATATGTGGAAGAGACCCATTTTTTCAAAATTCCTGTTTTTCTAATACGTTAATCGCCGTAGATTGGTTCGCCGGAGAAGGATTCCGGCGACAATGGGCGAATAGTTGGACACAGAAAGTAGTTGCGGGAGAAAAAAGACGCGCCGCGAGATATAAACAGAACATGTGAACGAGGCTCTGCACCGACACTCAAAATCTTACATATCTCGTCCATGCTCTATCTTAAACATATCATTTTCAGTCCTTGTATTTTTCATTTTGCCTTTTCAATCCCAAAAACAAAATTTGGTTGCGACTTTTGGTCTATTTTGATATGTCACAAGTAAAATCGGAAGAAAATAAATTAAAGAATACCTTATTCCTTGCCCATCAATGCATGTGGTTTACATTATCAATGGTGTTCGTTATTGTGCGTTGCATAGAAGCGTTAATATCGAAGCATAACAATATGAAATGTAATTTCTTAAAAGCAATACATGGAGTAACTCCGGGTATAGCAGTAGGTGTTCTTTCCGATCTTTACGCATTTCACCGCTCCACCGGAAATTCCCTCTAATAAAAGATAATTAGAATTGCATTATAACTCTATATTTTAGAATTTTCAAATTTAGTTGTATAACATCATCTTTTTCTAAAAAAAAATCTTAATATAGATTTAATAGATATAAATTATAAATGATTTAGTTAATCTTTTTTGTCATAGAAATGTAGATATTTTATGGATTAACGGTTGACCAATTTACATATTGAGTCAAACCCACTACTTAATTTGTCAAAGTCATTTTCTATTCCTTTAGATAGCATTTTTAGTACTCAAATATGATTGGATATGACAAAATAATAGGATCAGACAAGACTAGATAGAACATGATTGAATAAAACCAGTGTTTGGTATGACTAGGACATGACTGAACTAGATAAGTTGTCTCCAAAACTTATTTGATGTTTTTATATATTATATGATAGGTATAGTTAACACAAACAAAGTAAATAATTTAATTTACAAATATTTTTACATAATTTTCATGTACATAAATACATACACGTATAATAGTATCAAATTTGAATGGAAAAATTGATATAATTGATGGTAGTAGAAGTGGTGGTTATAGCGGAGGTAGAAGTGGTGTTGGTTATGGTGGAGGTGTTGGTTATGGGTGGTGGTGGAGATAGAGGCAGTGATGATTAGTGGAGGACGGTGGTTGTGGAAAACGTGAAAATGGTGGATAATGGTGGTGATGGACGGTGGTTGTGGTAGTTGATAGCGGTGGTGGTAGTGGTTATGGTGGAGGTGAAGGTTGTTGTAGTAGAGGAGTTGGAGGTGACCAATGGTGGTAGTGGCAATGGCAATAGATAGTGGTGGTAAAGGGTTGACGATGGTTGTAAAGGTGGCAATGGACGATGGTGGTCGGTGATTGACATTGGTTGTGGAGGCAGTTGAGGAGGTTGTTGTAGTAAAGAAGGAGTTGGAGGTGGTGGTGGTCGGTGGCAAACGGTGGTTGTAGAGGTGGTGATGGACGATGGTGGTTGTGGACGTGGTAGGGGAGGTTGTTGTAGTGAAATATGTGAACCAAACTCAAGCCACCACTCAATATTTTGAAATTCTCAAATCTGATTGGGCCATTTATTATAAAGAAACTTACTTATAAAAATAATAGAAGGATATTTGTGTAATGACGAGATACATTTTGATTTTAATATTTTGTTTTATTCTTTGTTTTTGTCGATATAATACAGTTTTATGTGGTTTTGAGAAAATGATAATGTTTTTA